GGGGGGGGGGGGGGGGGGGGGGGGGGAGCGGGAGGGCACTAGTGCGCTTTAGGCGAAGGCGACGCAGGCCCGGGACCGCGGGGGCAACTGCGGCTCTTCACCGCCGGGCGCCGCGCGCACTCTTGAGGGGCACCTGGGGGCCCCCTGGGGGCCCCCTGGCGACCGTTGGGGCCCCCTTGGGGCCCCCGTGGGGCCCCGTTGGGGCACTCTTGGGGCCCCCGTGGGGCCCCCGTGGGGCACTCTTGGGGCCCCCAAGTGAATTCGTAACGCTTTTTACTTCCTGCAGGAAACTGCGGAAGGGGCAGTCGTAGCCTTTTGCTGCTGAGGCTCTGTTAGGCCTCAAGCCTCACTGGTGGCTGTTGGCTTGAGAAGACAACACTAACTGCAAAGAGATATTAAGTGAACTCTAGCTGGCTAGCTAGCCACAGCTAGCCCTAGCTAGCCACAGCTAGCCACAGCTAGCCACAGCCAGCCCTAGCTAGCCACAGCTAGCCAGATAGCCCCAGGTGACCCCAGGGAGCCCCGCAGTAGGTTGTTGCTGCTGGCCACCGCTAGTCCCAGCTAGCCACGGCCAGCCACAGCTAGCCGCAGCTAGCCACAGCTAGCCCTAGTTGTTAAACCTGAGCAGGAACTCTACTGCATGCGCCTGCTAAAGGTGCACTGCGAGTCTTGCCGGGGACCTCCCGCCAGTGGCTAGCTGCGGCTCTTTGCGGCTAGCTACGATTCTTTAGGGCTAGCTGCGGCACCTCGTGGCTAGCTGCGGCTCGTGTGGCCAGCTTTGGCTCCTTTCGGCTCGCTGCCACTCCTTGTGCCGAGTTGCAGCTCCTTGTGGCTAGCTGCAGCTCCTTATAGCTAGCTGCAGCTCCTTGTGGCTAGCTGCAGCTCCCTATGGCCAGCTGCAGCTCTGTGTGGCTATCTGCTGCTCCTTGTGGCTAGCTGTGGCTCCTCACGGCTAGCTTCTGCTCCTGTGGCTAGCTGTGGCTCCGCGTGGCTAGCTGCGGCAGCCATTGATAGCTAGCTGCAGTGCCTGCTGAGTACTAGCGCCGCGGGCTATGAGCTGCAAAAGCCACTGTCTGGGCTGGCCGCAGCAGCAACGCAGGGGCCCCTCAAAGCGGCTGCGGCCGCAGGCCTTTAGGGGCCCCTCGGGGGGCCCCAAGCCCAAAATGGGGGCCCCTGTGAGCTTGTTTGCGTCATTACAACTTGTGGGCAGAAGCCCCACAGCCCCCCAAGTGGGAGCTGCCGAGGGACCCTTGGGGGCCCCCCGGAGGCCGCCTAGGGGCCTCCTAGAGGCCCCCAGGGGCCTACTGGAGGACCCCCTAGGGGCTTCCTGGGGGCCCCCGTAGGGGCCTCCTGGGGGCCCCCCTAGGGGCCTTCTGGAGGCCCTTGTTGGACTCTTGTAAACCCGCTTGGGGGCCTCTTGGAGGCCCCCCTAGGCACCTCTTGTAAGCCCTTCTGGGGCATAAAAAGGGGCCCCTCTAAGGGCCTCCTGGAGAACCCAAGAGGGGCCCTCAGAGGGTACTTCCTAGCGTGCTTTTGAGGCCCTTGTCTCATGAATTGGGAGCAGAGTTCATCTGTACTGCATTTGTTTGCTGCTGCTGCTGCAGCAGCAGCAGCAGCACTGTCAGCAGCAACTGCTGCTGCTGAGACTGGTCCGTTTCTTCTTTGGGAAGTGGACATCTGTTACTTCTGTGTTGAAAAAAGCAGCAACTACACTGCGGATGCCACCGTGGAGCATTTGCTGCTGCTACGGGGCCAGCTGTTGCTGCTGCTGCAGCAGCTGCTCCCGCTGTTGCTGCTGAAGCAGTGGCTCCTGCTGCTGCTGCAGCTGCTTCTGCTGCTGCTCCCCACTTGCTACATGCCGCCACACAAATAAAATCCCCTTCTTTCTTACAGACCAGGAATAGCAGCAAGGCGGGGGCAGCCTCATTACAATATCAACAAAGCTGGGGGCCCCCGGGGCCCCCGGGGGCCCCCGCAGAGCAGCAGCAGCAGCTTCCACGGCGTCTGCCCCGCTGCACCACATGTGCTGCAGCAGGGCCCGCTGCTCCTTCTCCCCCACCACGCACGACAGCAGCGGCTGCAGCTGCTGCTGCTGCAGCTGCTGCTGCAGCCACTCGCTGCTGCTGTTTTGGCGCTCAGCTGGCCACGCCATCCAGCAGCCCTCGCCAACAGCAGCAAAAAAAGTCCCCTTGTCTCTTTTCCAGCTGCTATACTTCCCTAGAGACGCCTCCCCTGCGTTGCTGCTGCTGTTGCTGCTGGCACTGCCGCTGCTGCTGGCGCTGCTGCTGCTGCTGCTGCTGCTGCTGCTGCTGGAGCTCCACAGAACGGGCAGGTAGAGGGTCTCTAGCTCGCGCATCGAAAGCCCCAGCTCCTTGTGCTGCAGCTGCAGGGCAGCTTGATGTAGGTGCTGCAGCTGCTGCAGCGTGTGCCTTGCTGCTGCTGCTGCTGCTGCGGCAGCAGAAGGCTGGGAGGAAGCAAGAGGCACAGAGGACTTGTCGCCTGGCTGCTGCGCTTGCTGCTCCCTAGGCTGCAGCAGCGGCAAATCCCGCTGAAGCAGCTGCCACTGCTGCTGCTGCTGCTTCTCAGAGTGCTGGAAGAGCGAGCGCTGCTGCTGCAGCAGCAGCTGGTGCAGAATGAGCAGCTGCTGCTGCTGCCTCGCCGACGCGCTCACGCCGACATTTACCGGAAGGCCCTGCAGTCCGTATTGCTGCTGCAGCAGCAGGCTGACATCAGGCTGCTCCCTGTACTGGAGCTGCTGCTGCTGCTGCTGCTGCTGCCGCGGATCTACAGCAGCAACTTTGCGCCTGGAGGCAGCAGCTTTCCCTGTAGGCTTCCTTTTGCGGTCTCCGGGCTGAACTACTGAGGGTCCCTCTCCATCTCTGACGCCCCTGTCCCAGTCTGCAGGCCATGCTGCTACTGCTGGGACAGAAGCAGCAGCAGCAGCAGCAGCAGCAGCAACAGCAGCAGCAGTAGCAGCAGCCTGCTCCGTCGAGGCCCGGTGCCTCTGCACCATCGAGGGCCCCGACAGTGCTGCTAGGGGCCCCCTGATGGAACCATCAGTGGGCCCTTGGGGCTGCCCCGCAGGCCGCTGCAGCAGCTGCTGGGGCTGCAGCTGCTGTGTGGCTTCCTGCTGCTGCTGCTGCTGCTGCTGTGTGGCTTCGTGCTGCGGCGGCTCTTGCTGCTGGTATTGTTGCTCGTAGGCCCGGGGAATCGACTGCAGCAAAAGGCTCTGAAGCGTGGGCACATGTGGGTAGAAAGGAAGCTGCTGCTGTGCAGCCTGCGGCGCCGCTGACCGCGGGGGCTGCTGCTGCTGCTGCTGCTGCTGAATTTGCTGCAGCAGCAGCTGCTGTTCCTGGCGAAATGGGACTTGTTGGAAGCCATTGAGTGGGCCTTGAGGCTGAGATGTCGGTGCTGCCTCTTCTGAAGTGGGGTTTGGCTGAGAAGGGGGGCCCCTGAGGGCCCCCCAGGAGCTGGGCTCGAGGAGTGACCCCGGGGGCTCGCGAGCCCCCAGGGGGCCCCCAGGAGCCCCCACGAGAGGCTCTAGAGACGCAGCAGAAGTTTCTGAGGGGTTTTGTGGCTGCGTTTGGGGGGGTGTTGTGTTGGGGGTGGGGGCAGCGGTGGGCACGGGGGCCCCCTGGGAAGAAGACGCTGGTAGCTGCTGGGGGGCCCCCTCTGGAGGGTGCTGCTGCAGCTTTTGCATGTTCTGACTTGAACTCCGGGCAAAACGCCGCAGTGAGAAGTCAGGGGAGGAAGATATCCCGAAGAGTTCAATAGGGCTCGCGGGAAGTGACCCTGGGCGCATGCAGCCCTGCAGCTTCCCGGGGCCCCGCCCGTAAACTTTTCTTGCTCGATCTTGATGTTATTTCTGGGATAAAACACCAGCTTCCAATTAAATGAATTTCACTGAAAAAAGCCTAAGAGCAGCAGAGGTGAGGGGCAGTGGGGGCTCCGCCTGCTTCCATACTGAAAGCAAGTGAAGCCTACAAAAATAGCCCATAGAGCGAGCCACCAGCCCAGCACTGCTCTTAGCCACAAAATTGGCCTGGAGGCAAAAGGCTTTATTTCATTTGTTTGCAAGCCTGGGGGCCCCACAAACAGGCGAAGCGCTCATCCCCAAAGGCTCTGACTTTGCCTCTGGCCCTGCAGCCTAAAGTAAGGGCTTTGGCCCGCACATTAACCTTTGCCCCAATAAGCCACAGATATCTGCAGCCACTTTTGCCTTGTGGCTGCACTGAAGGCCCCGGAGGGCAAAACCTGCAGAGGTAGCGCCGCTGCAGCAAAAGATGCAGCAGCAGCAGCAGCTGCGCACAGGAAAGGCTGCGCCTTTGCAGGAGCTTTGCCCCCCAACCTTTCAGCTAAAGCTTTCAAAGCCCTTCGCCCGCATTGTGTAGATAAAGTTTCGAGAATTGGCGACTAATAGAGGCTGCGAGCAGCAGCAAATACTGCATGCAGCACGCAGCAGTCTACCCTGCTGCTAGATTCCGTAACACCGCTAGTTTGAAAGCCCCAGTGCATGCGCTGGCCCCCAGACCCTCAGCAAATTCTCTAAAAGCCCCCAGTCCACGAAATCCCACAAAGATCGCCAGCCCGCCAGCCTATATAAGTATTAAAGTCGCTCTGGGGGCCCCTGCAGGGGCACACAGCCAGGGGCCCCCAGCTTTCATAGCCCAGAAATTGGCCCCGCTGCCGGCCAGCTTACTTCGCTGTAGCCCTGCAGGCCTATGGCCAGGTAAAGGGAGAAAGTTTGAAAATGCCAAAATGCAAATGGGCTTTTGCTGCGCTGCAGCAGCTCTATAGAGCTGCTGCAGCGCAGCAGCAGCTGCAGCAGCTCTGTAGAAGCCACAGGGGAAGCTGGAGGAAAGCCCAATGCTTCTTTCTTTTGTGACCTGCTGCTGCCACGGGGAGCGGCAGCGAGCCGCAGCACTGCTGCAGCAATGTTGCAGCAGTGTATGCTGCGCTGCTGCAGCACTGCTGCAGCACTGCTGCAGCAGTGTATGCTGCATCCCCAAGCCAAGAAGGAGCTCCTCCTGGGCAATTCTCAAGAGGAACTCCTTTCTGTCTGGCAGCCCCAAGAGGCGCCTGCAGCAGCTAAGAGGCCCCAATCTGGGGGAGCTTTATCTGCTGCTGAGCCAAGACCCACAGGGGGCTGCGTAGCTGCTGCAGTGGGAAACTGCCTCAAAGAAGAGCTGCTGCAGGGCCCCCGCAAGGCCTGCGGGCCAAATTGCCCAGGCCAGGGGGCCAGCAGCATTTGCTGCAGCCGCCCCCAGCCCGATCTCAGGCAATACTTTCGTGCTGCTGCTGCGGGCTCTTGCAGCAGCGGCGCTGCAGCTGCCATTCTCAGGCACTCAAAGGGGGCCTCTGGCGCTGCTGAGCTGCGCCAGCTGAAGCAGAGTTTTGCTGCTAGTTTCTCTTCGAGATTGTGGCTTCTGCTGCTGCTATCTAAACTCTCTAGGAGTGAGACCAGGGCCACAACAGGGAGCTTTTGTGTGGGGCTGCCGCCTTTGCTGCTCAGCAGCAGCAATTTCTGCGCAGAGCTTCTCTTTCTTTGCATTAGCTTCATCCCTTAGAGTGGGCCCGTCACTGCAGCAGCTAGGAGCTTGCTTAGTGGGGCGTTTGCGGGTTCCCCTGGCACTCTGGGGGCTGTTAAGGGGATTCTGGGGCTTCTTCTGCCTTATTCGCTGCTTTAGTGCCCCCAACTTCTAGTAAATAACAAAGCAGTGAGATTCAATAAGTACATTTAAGTAGGGAAGTGGGGTATCTCGGACTAAACAGGAATGCAGAACCTTGCCCAGGACACGGAGGTGGTCATTCAAAGGCGTGCTGCAGCTCTGCCGATTCCCTAGCGGCCTCTCAGCCAGTGAAGACTCACAAAAAACTATAATTTGATTTTATTAATTCTACTTAGGAATTTGGACTTCCCTTTCTTCAGACTGGACAAGTTTCATAAGTTGCGCTGCAGCGTCCGCTGCTGCTTTCAGGTCCGTGGCTTGCGGACTCCTCGAGACAGCGGCCTGCTGCTGCCTGTGCAACTGCTGCAAGCAGCTAGCCGGCTTGCATTTTTGCTGCGGCTTTTTGCAGCTTTTTTGTCTTTGTTTTAGTCTAAGTCCGTAGGCGGGGTGTCTCGGGCTCCCGGGTTTCTTCCCGCAGCGGCCATTTAGGCTCCACCGGCCTCCCGGATCGCCCAGCTGCGGGGAGTCCTCTGCGGAATCCTCCCGAAGACTTGAACTATTTCGCAGAGTTTCAGTGTGCATGCACTCCGGTCTTTGCGAAGATGTTACTTCGCAGTTTGCAGCTGGGGCTGGTGCTCCTGCTGTTTCTGCTTTCTAGCCCGACGGCCAAGACCACCACGCCCGGCACCGACGACTCCCTCCTCTTAGACTGCACGGGCGAGGCTATTACTTTATCTTTCTACAAGTCGTGAGTGCTTCTGCTGCCCGCCCTGCTGCTTCGCTTTCAGGAGTGTTGCTTCTGCCCTTACATGCCACTGCGGGGCTCGCTGCGGGGGGGCCCCCCGCTGGGGCCCCGCGCCCCCTGTCCAGAAGGGCCCCCGCTGGGTGGGGCCCCCTGAGGGGCCGCTGCGCTGCAGCGGGCGCAGCAGCAGGGAGACGCGCCGCGTGCTGCTGCTGCGTGCTGCTGCTGCGTGCTGCTGCTGCAAGCTGCTGCTGCGTGCTGCTGCTGCTGCGTCGCAGGCCCCGGCGGGCCTGCGTGAAGTGGCTGGGGGCCCCCACTCTCGGGGGCCTCGCCGCCACTGTTGCTGCACTCGCTGGCTGGCCCGGCGCTGTGGAGTTGAAGGCTGAGAGCCTCTGGGCGAAGCTGCAGCTGTGGAGGGGCGGCATTGGCCGCCTCACTCCGCTGCGCTTGCTGAGCGGCGCGCGCCTCCGCGCTGCGGCCAAGGTGGGTGGACCTCTGCTGCAGCAGCAGTGGACCAGTGGACCACTGGTCACGCAGCCGCCGCTGCGTGCGCCCGCAGGGCCGGGGCTGCCCCCGGCTGCTGCGGGCAGCAGCAGGCACTGCAGCAGCTACAGACAGCGCAGAATACAAAAGAAAGTCACAAAAGAAAGTCTCAGACAAAGATAGTGTCTCGCTTTTGAAGGAAAGTTGCAGGACAGACCAGTGGTCCACCCCGTTCGTATGAGCTCTAGTGCTCTGCATGCAGCGCCTCTCTTAGCCGCAAATCCATTAAAGCCACTTTTGTGGGGCCACTGGCCCCACAACTTCGTTAGCAGCTGCTGCCCGAGGGGCGGGGCCGCTGCAGCAGACCCGAGCGCCGCAGCAGCAGCTGCTGCGGAGAGCCGCGCCGTGCTGCTGCTGCTTCCAGGCTTGCTGCTGCCGCTGCCACCGCTGCTGCTGCTGCTGCTGCTGCTGCGCAGGCCGGAAGCAAGCGGCTTCCGCTGGACACGCGGTTTTTGGAGGTGCTGCCGCGGGTGGGCCTGGAGCAGCTGCCGCTGCTGCTGCTGCAGCAGCAGGGAATGTCCCGAACAATAGAAGGGGTAAAGGGGGCCCTCAGCGAGAGCCCGGGGGCCTCCCCGTCGTGGCTGCGGGGCCCCGACGGGCGAGCAGCAACTTTGCTGCAGCCCAGCAACGCGCTGCTGCAGCAGCTTTTCCAGCAGCAAACTTACTTTCGAGTGGAGTTCAAAGACGCGGAGAAAGGCTCTTTGAAACACTTTCCAATTAATTTGTTTTCTGCTCCTCGGAAGGACAGTAGCTACTTCTGCGGGGCCAAAATCCCCTTCAGAGTTTCCGCGCTGGGCAAGCAGCAGCTGCAGCAGGCGCTGCTCTCGGGGGGCCCCCGGGGGGCCCCCCCCGAGGCCCTCATGCTCGCAGCCAGGGCCTCCAAAGACCCTCTCACTGAACAAGACCCCACACTTGTTGTGGTCCAGTGGTTCCGGGGGCCCAACGGGGAAGCCCTTATGAGGGAGACCACTGTCCACGTCGAGCCCGAGGAGGCCGTGAGCAGCAGCCGCCTGCTGCTGCTGCTGCTGCTGCTTCTGTTTCCCCTGCCGTTGCTGCTGCCGCTGCTGCTTCTGTTGCCCCTGCTGTTGCTGCTGCCGCAGCTGCTGCTCTTCCTGCTGCCGTTGCCGCTGTTGCCCTGCTGCTGCTGCTCTTCCTGCTGCCGCTGCTTCCGTTTCCCCTGCTGCTGCTGCTGTTTTTGCTGCTGCTGCTTCCGTTGTCCCTGCTGCTGCTGAGCGGTTGGATGCAGTGTTTGCCCGCACGGGGTCACCCCGAGGTTTGGGAGCAGCACAAAATTATTTCAAAGTCCAACGAAGTTTTGGCATCCGAGCACAAGTCCTTTATAAAAGACCTTTTTGATTAAATTGAAAGAACGGGACAAGAAGCAAAAGTGCAGTTTGCAATTTGTCTGTGTGTTGTGGCTGCTGCAGCCAGTTGCGCCCGAAGGGACTCCTGGGCGATACGGTGAGGCTTAGGAGGCTGCAGTGCCTGCTGCTGCTGCTGTTGCTGCTGCTGCTGCTGCTTGCTGTCCATCTTTGCTGTGGATTCGCGGGCGCAGCTGCCGAGTTTGTGGCGCTGCTGAGCTGCTGCTAGTGCTGCAGCTGTCGCTTTTCACTGTGCCACAATGCTGCTGCCATTCTGCCTGCTGCTGCTGCTGCTGCTGCTGCTGCTGTAGGTAGAAGGTACATTAGCAATTTTTTCGCGGACAACTCGCGGCTCTTTTCCCGCTTCGTCGGCGTCGTGGCGCGGATGCGGCTAAACCGGTGTTTTCTTTGGAAATTTTGGGCCTCTACGAACATTGGTGAGAAGCTAGAAAGGCATTTTTCAAAAGAATTTAAAAAATTAACAACACCCTCTGGAAATGTACAGAAGGGAGCCCCCCAGGCAATAGTCACAGAGGGGGAGGCCGCAGCCGGGAGAGCCCATAGCCCACACAAATGGGCAGCTGAGGCGGGGGTGCCCCGGGGCTGCTGCAGCACTTTCAGGAACTTTTGATTGTTGTCTTTGTTTCCTTTTGAAGTCCATTTGGCCGCAGTTTTGCTGCGGCTGCTGCTGGCTGGGTGGCTGGGGTGGCTGGCGCTGGGGCCAGCTGCTTGCTGCTTGTTTTCTGCTGCCAGTTGCTGCTGGCCCCGCTGCGCTGCTGCTGCTGCTGCTGCTGCTGCTGCGGCTTCCCCCCACGCCTGGCTTCGAGCGCCTGCGGCTGCTGCAGACTTGGAAGAGGCCTTCAGCCTGCTGCAGCTCCGGCCGGGCTCCCCGCGGCTGTTTCCCACAGTTGACTTGTTCTTTTCGCGGCCCATAAACTACGAAGTGCTGCGGCCCATAGACAGCGAGGCCATTTTGGTGTCGCCTGCGGACTCGGCGCTGCAAAATGCCTTTTACATCAAACCCGACAAAGACGGAAACATCGTCGGCGCCCGCATTCCCCAAGTAAGCCGCTTTAGGACGTATTGAAAAAAGGTTTAACTAATAGATGGGTAAAAGATTATTGTTTTTTTCTTATTAGAATACAAATAATAAACGTTGTTTACATATATATTCGCTGCATTTTTAATAATATCCTGGGGCTCAGGGCTGCACGCCCCAGCAGCAAATGCTGCGGCCTGCAGCAGCACTGGAGCGCCGCTGCACGCTGCAGCAGCAGCAGCAGCAGCAGAGCGCGCAGGCAGCTCGCGTAGGGCCCAGCGGGGAAGGGTCGGGCTAGGGTTTGCGTTGGTGGTTTGGTGCGTGGGTTTGCGTTGCGTTCAGATCAAAGGCACTACTTTTAACTTGTCTCAGTTTTTGTTTGGGCGCGGCACAAACATGAACTTGCGGCTGCAGAGCCCGAAGCACCGACTGCATGTGCACATCTTTTACTTGTCGCCTTCCGACTATCACCGCTTTCACTCTGCTGCGGACTGGCGGGCGCTGCGCCACGTCTACATGCCGGGCTGTCTTCCTTCGGTGAGGCGGGTGGACTTTGCTGCTGCTTGTAGGGAAAGCAGCAGCAAAAGCGCCCCTGAGAGCGGCTGCTGCGCAGCTGCAGGCAGCAGCAGCAGCGCGGGTGCGCAGCCCCGAAGCCTGCGAACAGGCGCTTCTTCTGCGGCTTTTGCTGCTGCTGCTGCTCTCGACAGGTCCGCCGCACTGTGCTGAGCAAACGGGATATACTGGACTCGTTTGAACGCACTTCAGTGCAGGGAACTTGGCATCCGGGAAACGCAGGAGGGCCTCCCCTTTTCTTTTCCATGACCTTCGTGGCTGCGCAGATAGTGGGGGGCATCGAGCTTTTCTACAGAAAGCGCGTCGACCAAAATCGCTTTCTTTTTACCCCCCACTGTGGCCTCGTCCGCCACAGCTACCTCTACGACTACACAAGTCCCGTCAAACTCTGCATGGGGCAAGAACTGGGCGCTTTCCACTTCGGCAGCACCGTTGTACTGGTGAGTCCAGGGGCCTGCGGCGCCCTTCCTAACCAGCAGCAGCAGCAGCCGCAGCAGCAGCAGCAACAGCAGCAGCAGCAGTACCCTAGTAGGGCTTAGGTCCACAGCCGTCTGCAGCAACGTGTGGGCAAAGAGGCTCTGATTAGCGCCAACCAAAACACCGCCTTAAGACCCTGGCCCGCCCACAGGCCCTCAGTTGCATGCATGCAGCTCCAGTTTCTAAATTGCCTTAGAAGCTGCACTCGTAGGGCCCCAGCAGCAGCCCAGCCGCAGGGCGGTGCACTCAGCGGGCGCAGTTTACCTGCTGCAGCAGCCACTCAGGTCTGCACACAATTGGCTCTCTGCACTCTAGTGTTTGGCTTCAAGGGCCCTGAAGAAGGGTCTATCTGTAAGTTTTGCGGCGGCTGTTTTCCCGCTGCTGCCGCCACGTGCCTGCTGTGTGTTTTTGCTTTTCTGCTGCTGCTGAAAGGCTTATGAGGCCCCCGAGGAGCTGGAAACTCTGAACCCGATCTGCTCGCAAATGGTAGTAAACAGCCCGCTGGGCTATCTGAAGGGCAGCACCCGGCGGCGGCTGCCGCGCTGCGACTTCAGCTACGGCAACCACAGTGACCCAATTGCATATCTGCAGTACCTGCAGCGTCTTAGCGCGAAGAGCAGCTCTGGGGAGGCCCTGCTGCCCGAGGCGAGGCCCGGGCCCCACACACGGGGCGAGGGGCAGCAGGGCTTGCTTGTGAGTGGCCCTCATATGGGGGCCCCCGCTCCTGACAGCCACAGCGGGAGCAGGGGGCCCCGGGGTGACCCCCACGAGGGGGCTGCGGGGATAGAGGAAGACAGCATAGATTCCCCCTTCGCGGAGCAGCAGGACCCCCCTGAGGACTCCGCCGCAGCACCCTTGCCTTCGCATTCCAGCGACTCGCAGGGGCCTGTGGGCTCAACGCAAACTTTCGCCGAGTCTGCTGAGGAGGAGTTCACGGGGGCGCTGGGGGTGACAGAGTCAGAATCAGAAGGCAGCAGCGCGGGCGCAGCCGCGGGCACCGGGGAAAGCAAGTCTGAAGCAAACAGCCTCGACTTCATCTTCACGACCAGCCGTTCGCTGCAGCACCAAACCAAAGTCACGCGGGGCCCGGGGCAGGAGGTGCCTTTCTCGCCGCTGGCAGATCTCCAGGCCAAAGTGCAGGCCCTGGAGTTCGGCCTTGTGCACAGATTCGCGCTGGCCCACTGGCTAGCCAAGGCCTGGACGGTACGGCTCTGCCCTCTAGACTTAGCAGCCCCAGTCTCAGTTTTCCTTGAGTGACAGCATGCAGCACAAGGTTTGAGCAGCTGGTGCTGCAGCGCAGCACTAGCTGCTGCGCCTGGGGCTGCGAGATTCAGCTGCGCACTGCTTTCCCGTGCATGCGTTGGGCGACGCAGCAAAAGCGCATGCAGCGGGGCTTGGCTTCACAGGTTTGTTTGCGGCTGTGGCTGGCTCAGGCTTTTGAAGCTTTTGAAGACGCGGAGGGCAGCCGCCTCGTTATGCTGCATGTGGGACAGCTAGGCAAGAACGAGACAGACTCAAACGCCAACAACAACCCCACCTGCTTCTACGGTGAGGCCACTGCCACGTAGCTCTTGCCCTCGAACTCTAGGCCACTAGCCTTGCTCGCACAGTGTAGGCCTTGCAGGCGTTACAGAGGCGGAAATTTAGTGGTTATCTAGCCAGCTAGACCGCCTAGCTAGCTAGGGCTAGTCTATTTAGCCTTTGGCTGTTGAAGGCTCTGTTGGAGATGCACAGCAGAAGCTTGTGTTTGTGGGGTGTGGTCAGACCGGGCGCGAGAGTCGGTGCAGCTGCGGTTCGTCGGCCAAGTTTCTAGTCTGCTGCTGGTGTGGCCAGCAAAACATGAAAGCGAGGTGCTGCTGCGGTACCCCACCTTTGCATGCGCCAGCAGCAAAGGCTGGGGCAAGACCACCCGCGGAGTGGGAGCTTCCTGGTCTTTTTCCGATGGTCAGTCTCGGCGTTGGCTGTCTTCTTCTTGCCTTGCCAGCCCTTGCACAGATTTGGCTCCATCTTTTCGCCTCCTTGCTGCCCCTTCAGCTTTTCTTGGTCCCTTTTCTTCTGGCTTTGTGGCTTTTCACGGCTAAGTCGTCGCCACTGTGTTTGTCTTCTGCTGCTGTGGTGGCGGTATATACGGGCGGGGAGGATTTCAACACAGGGGATTTCTCAGCGAGTTTCTTCTCGCCGTCACACTGCGGGTTGACTATGGCTGCACATTTTGTTTTCACAAAGAGCGCAAAATGGGCTTCTTAGCTAGAGAACAAGACCAGTTGCCTGAATGGGTTATACTGTAGCTCTCTGTGTCTTCTGTAGCCTCTTGCTTTCTTTAATTGTTAGCTGCGGCTGTGTTAATTTTCGCAGACTATCTGTTCGTAAAGTTCCAGTTGGAACTGGGCCGCCTGGTGAACGAAAGGGAGGGGGCTGTGGAGACGAAGGTATTCTCTTTCCAGGCCGATCTCGAGGCTTCTTCGTGGCCTGCAGTAGACGCGTTCGCCCCTGAGGAGGCAGCGGGCAAAGCGCCTGTTTCATCCGACTTATTTGCAGGAGACGTGAATCTCCTTCGGTTTGAACTTCAAACTGGGCCTACAGTGGCTGTAGTCAAGGCACAGCGGTTCGCCGTCACCACCGCTGTGCCCCCAGAGGTAAAGTCGGGGCCATCCTCCAACGAGCTGATCTGTGACGAAGCCCCATTTCAAAGCGCCTTGGCCTCCCTGGGAAGCCGGATTAAGGCGCTGCGGTGGTTCCGCACGGCCTCTGAGAAACATGAATAATAGTTGTATCCATGAAGACTCATGGAGATTTGTATCCCCGAGAAAGTGCATGTGCTGCTTAGCAAAGTATTTGCACGGGCGCCATTTAGCACATGGCGCTTTTCTTTAAATTGTTTTATATGCAAGTGCTCAAGGCGCCAGCATATCCGATTGGGATCGACACAGGGCTGTGGGAAGCTCTCGTCGACCTCCTGGTGATAGACACTGAACCATTACCGTTTCGTGGATCCCCGACTGCGCTGTTGACTTTTTGTTTCAACTGCCGCTGCACAGAAAGGTGGGGAAAACTCTTCAACAGCGCGGTCTGGCCACAGACGCCGGCAGGCAAGGTGTACACGCGCTTCAAGGAATCTCGAGGGCGCGCTGCAGCGAGGCGTGCTTGTCAAGGCCAAGGTCCTGCAGCAGGCGCCGCAGTTTGAACAACAACAGGCAACGACAGGGTAGAAGAACTTCACCGACAAACGAGGATGGGAGAGGCGAATGCGAAAACCACAACAGGGAAAGCTGCGCGGCGCAGGCGCGCAGCCATGCGCAGCCACGCGCAGCCACGCGCAGGCGCCCCCACTTACCTCGTTGCATTTCCGAGCTGCTGCTGCCCTTCGCAGCATGCATAAAATTGCGGCTATAAGTGCGCGAGCCGGCACTGACACGGCACTGACACGCAGGTGCCGCCTCAGTGCCCATCGTGCCGGCTGCGAGGTATAGGCAGCGGAAACTACCGAATCCCGTTTTGCTTTTGCACGAGAAGCAGGTGGAGGTATAGTGGCGGGACTGGGCCAAAACGAGCCTGACGCTGTAGTATCACTCACTGGCTTAGGCACCAGGGGGGAGCGGGAAGCATCGACACAGGGGGAAGGGAGAATCACCGATATTGCTGTCGTTTCAGACTCTACAGAAAAGCTGCAGCGGCAGAATCTTCATATTCTGCTACTGCTGGAGGCGTTGCACCGTGTACAGGCTTGTACTGTCGGGCCGCCTCTGCCGGTTAACTACGCCGGGATCAGCGAGCGCGCTGAACTTGATAGCATAAGAAATGAATGACACCGGCTGAAGTAGAGCTGCATAGCTGCAGGCGTGTCTAGCTACACTGAGTCCGGCGAAGGTCGTTTAGGGTGACATATTTTCGTGTTGCTGCCAGCCCCAGCGCAGCTCTAGCTAAAAGTGCTTCTCTAAGCCCTGCTGTAGCCTATTGGCGATCCGTAGCTAGCTAGACACGGGTGTTTCCCTTCTATTGAGCCGTGTACTTGTGGATTCGTGAGTCTAAAAACTGCTAAATAGGCACAGAAACATCTGCGATCCACTAGTCTTGTTGGCACCTGTAGCAGCTGGTGGGGCTCCAGCGCAGCTGCGGTGCGCTGCGTCTCAGCCACAAGCCGTAAACGGAAACACCACTTAAAAGGGGTCCGCGTGCTGGGTGCGCACTAAGAAGCGTCGCTGCCTCAAATGCAGCTGGCGCGGCTCTGAAGCCCCCGTGCTTTCCTATTTTTCCCCCGGCTGCGCTGCCGAGAGGACCGCCTCGCCAGCGGGTTCTGGGGAAGCTTCAGCCATTCAGGCCTGCTGCTGCTTCGTGTTCTTGCGAGCCCACAAGAAATGCAAAAGGAAACGCTGCCCGACCTATTCGCCTTCGGTCTTTGGGGCGGCCTGTTCCTCCCTCCCTGGCTCTTCACACTGACACTGAGTTGGCGCATGCAGGGGGTCTGCTGCCCTCGGAGAAAACAAAAGAAAACAAAACAAAACAAGCGCTGAGGGCAGCAGCAGCGGCAGCAGCGGCAGCAGCTGGAGGACCCACTGCTTCTCTCCCGCGTCAGTCAACTTGCACTTGACCCAGCGCTCTCGCAGCCCCACACAGTCAACAGCCTCCAATCTGCCCCGCAGCACTTACAGGCCGCAGAGGCAGCCTAGCGGCGGCGAAGGTAATTAAAGCGGAGCAAAAGCACAAGTGCAGGGGCTCGGGTGGGTTCAAAGAGCGAAAGTGACGGAGGGTGGTGACCTTCAAACCTGGCTAAAACGTTTGTGGCACTCTGAGCTGCTGCTGCTGCTGCTGCTGCTGCTAGGACTGAGAGATGCAGCATGCAGTGCCGAGAGGCGGCTGGGCCTCTCGCCTTGCGCTAAGCCCTCAGAGACAGAAAAATGAGACTGCGGCGCGTGGCCTGAAGATGGAGGTGCAGAAGGCAGGCGGCAGCTGGCGCAGCACACTCGCCTGCCGCCCAAGTTGCTGCAGAGAGCACCTGCTGCTGCCGCAGCTGCAGCTGCTGCTGTGGCTTCGCTTACTGCTGCAGGCTTTGCAGCGGAAGCAGCAGCTGCCTAGCTAGAGAGTCCTAAAGTTGAAATTCTGAAAAGTGTCTGTCCCTCAGAGGGTCCGTCTGGAGGTGGTGGAGCTGGTGAGGTGGTAACAACAGGGCGTCGGGCAAAGCCATGTGTGGGCGCTCATGTGAAAAAGAAAAGAAAGCAAAACTAAGAAGACAAATGCGTCCTTAGTCCTGCTGAATGTCAACTGACAGAGTCTGAGTGACCTCCTCGTAGTCCAGAGTCAGGCTGAGACGCGAAGGACTCGCCGCTTCCTTCTTGCGGGGTTCTTGCTGCTGCTCCGCAGCTTCCAACTCTGCCTCCACAGCAACTGCGCCGCCTTCTATTCGGGCCAGCGGCAGCAGCGGCACCTGCAGCGGGCTGCCGTCGTCAAGAGCCGGGTGCAGCATCAGCGTTATCAGCAGCAAAGACGAGGGGTCCTGGGGGTCCACGAAGTCCGCGTCCAGGAGCCCGCCCATGTATTCTGAAGCTGCTGCTGCTGTTGCTGCTGCTGCGGCTGCGGCTTCGGCTTCCACAGGAGCAGCAGCAGCCCCAGCGGAGGGAAGGTTGCCGGCATCCGCAGCGGCGGGAGGCTGTAGCAGCAAAGTCGAAGAAGCCTCAGCCGCTTCCGCCGAGCAGCGCTCGCTGACTTCCTCCCCAACATCAGCAGCAGCTGCAGCAGCAACGGCAGCACCCCCTGCTGCCACTGTTGGGGCAGAGAGAGGAACAGAAGGCATTACGAATCCCGGAGCATAAGGATTAAAAGCAAACTGCTTCACTGCAGGTGTGCTGCTGACGCTGCTGCTGTTTTCAGCTGTTTCTGCTGCTCCATGCCCTGGCGCCAGCTGCGCCTGTCTTCGTTCTTGCTGCTCGTGGCTCTGAAGGGAAGCTTCAGCAGCAGCATCAGCAGCGGCCGCTTCAGAGGAAGACAAAGGTGGAAAGTCCCACAGAGTTGCTGGCTGCCGCTGCTGCTGGTCTGCAGCAGCAGCCTGGTCGGCAGCAGCAGCAGCAGTGGCGCACGCAGCGTAGCTCTGATACACCGGAGCCCGCCCCTGGTATGCAGCCTGCTGCATTGAGAAATAGTCAGGGATTTCGCTAGCATTGAATGCATATAAGTGCTGCAGCAGCTGCTGCTCGGGCCGCAGGCTTTCGCTGTGGCTAAGTCCTACCCCGTACTGCCTCCGTGGGTGTTTGTGTCTGCCTTGTTTCCGGCCCACACTGGCAGCCCCCCGGGGAAGTCGGCTGCTTGCTGCAGCTGCTGCAGCTGCTGCACCTGCAGCAGCAGCCTGTGCACCTTCGGGTGGCTGCGGCGCATCTTTCCCTCTTCCAGCAGCAGCAGCAGCTCCCCCGGCCTTCCCTGCAGCAGCAGCCAGTGCCCCTGAATGCAGCGCCGGTGGCTTCGTGCTGCTGTTGCTGCTCCCTGCTCGTTCTCGCTGCTGCAACGGCACCTGCTGTTGCCCCTGGACCTGCTGTTTACTGAGTTGAGGTACATCTTGAGCCGTTGGCGCGAGCGGCGACTTCTTCTCATCGCCCCCCGAATTCGGCTCTGCGACGCTGCTGCTGCTGCTGCTGCTGCTGCTGCTGCTGCTGCTGCTGCTGCTGCTGCTGCTGCTGCTGCTGCTGCTGCTCGCGAAAAGCCCGAGCGGCGGCGAGGCTCCAGAGCCGCCGCACCACCGTACCTGCCTACCTGTTTGAGTGCCTCTAAGAATGACACTCTTGTAGCTGCGGGTCGACACGCCCGCGTCGCAGCAGAGACTTGAAATGCTGCTGCCGCTGCTGGAGCTGGTGCTGCAGCAGCTGCTGCTGCTGTTGGTGCCGCCGCTGCTGCCGCTGCTGCTGAAGGCCCCTCTGTTGCTGCTGTTGCGGCGGGAGCTTCCTGTGTCTGTGCTCACACTTTCACAAGTCGAAGTGGCTCCTTCCCCGCAAAGTCTATCCCCGCAGGCTGCTTTGTTGCAGCTGCTTGCCCCTGCTTCTCTCTCTCCTGAATACAAAGCAGGCAGCACTACTTGCTGCTGCTGCAGCTGCTGCAGCTGCTGCAGCTGCTCCTGCTGCTGCTCAGGCAACGCTGCTTCCCCAGCTCCCGCTGGCGCCACCTCGGGCTCCCGCTTTTGCGGCTTAAGGCGCAGCTGCAGCAGGAGACACAGACACAGGAAAGGCGAAAATGCATAAAGACCCTCCGCTGCTAGCTGCTGGATAGGCTGCTGCTGCTGCTGCTGCTGCTGCTGCTGCTTTTGCTGCGAGGCTGTGTTTCTGCTTCTTCGTTCTCTTATTGTTGCCTGTGAAGCAGCTCTGGAGAGCCAGGAATTGGGAATTGAAACTTTCTGCCCCCTCACCTTTCTTTGGTTTTTATTAAGGCAAGCTTCATGCGAAAGAAAGGCGAAGTCCAACCGGTGCAGCCCCACAGCAGCAGAGCCCAACAGCTCCCGCAGCTGCGCCTCCTGCTGCCGCAGCGTCTGGCACGCAGTCGACCCCACCCACACCTGGCAGCACAGCAGCAGCAGCAGCAGCAGCAGCAGCAGGTGAGGAATAATAGGGCCACTTCAAGACTCGAAGGCACCCTACGCTATTGGCAGTTTCATCTGGCTCTATGCACATTAACCGGAATAGAAACAAAGTCAAATCCCCGCTGCTGCAGCATCTGCTGCACCCTCAGCTGCTGCTGCTGCTGCTGCTGCCTCGGCTGCTGTTGCTCCTGCTGCGGCACTGCTCACCTCAACTTTGTGGCTTTTGTCGTTGTTGCGCAAACACAGTACCACTCCAGTAAGAGTAGAGAGAAGGGCCCTCAAGGTGCGTCTGTGGCGCTGCTGCTTCTGCTCTAAGGATCTCAGCAGCAGCAAAAACACCTCCTGCAAGTGCAGCACATGCGCGCGAAGCACCCCACTTCTAGCTGCTGCTTGCTGCGCTGCTGCTGCCTCCGCTACCTGCTAGCTTCCCCTCCAATCTGCTAATTTCTTAATTCTGGCTCTAAGGCCGTCAGCGCTTCTCTCAGCTTCAGTTAAATGTGTAAGCAGTCTACGGCAGCAAGAGCTCCAATGCGCGAAATCGCAGTCTCAGCAGCAGCAGCAGCAGCAGCAGCAGCAGCACTCTTTTAGGGCAGCACTGCTGAATTGGTCTTTTTAATTAGAAAAAAGCTTCCCCCGCGTTTTTCCCTTCATGCCACGATATGCTGCCAGCAGCTGTACTAGCAGCAGCGCCACCTCCCCACCTCCCCCACAGCCGGCCCCGCAGTGCAGCCGCACGAGCCACAAAACGCAGCAGCAGCAGCAGCAGCAGCAGCAGCAGCAGGAACTCACCACGGCCTGCGACTTCCCTGCGAGGTTCCTTATGACGAAGTGGCCCCCCCTCCTGTTCACAGGATCTTCCCACAGGGGGGCGCAGCCGCCCACAAAGACGGCCACGTTCACAGGGGGGCTCAAAGCCTTGTGGGACAGCAGCTGAAACAGCTCCAGCGTTGCCCGCAAAGACGCAGCCCGGCCTGCAGCAGCAGCAAACGTTGCACTTCGCTTTAGCAGCAGCAGCAGCAGCAGCAGCAGCAGCAACAGCTGCAGCAGCTGCTGCAGCAGCTCAGGCAGCAACAGCTGCAGCAGCTGCTGCTGCTGCTCAGGCAGCAACAGCTGCAGCAGCTGCTGCTGCAGCTCAGGCAGCAACAGCTGCTGCAGCAGCAGCAGCAGGAGCTGCTGCTGCAGCAGCTCAGGCTAGGGTGGCTACCGTGAAGTCCAAGTTTCACTGGGCGGCGTACCTATTTGCACGAGGCCCCTTTCATAGTCTTCCTGCAGCCGCCCTTTGCTGCTGCTGCTTTTGCTGCTTCCGCTCGCCTCGTTGCCTATTGGGTCGTGCCTGAGCAAACAGCTCCCGCAAACGCAGCAAGTGCCCCTTAGCGCTAGTCCTGCTGCTGCTGCTGCTGCTGCTGCGGCTGCTGCTGCTGCTGCGGCTGCTGCTGCTGCTGCTGCTGCTGCGGCTGCTCACCATAAGCACCATCCGCAGGAATGAGACACCCACGGGCCCCAGTTGATGTTGGCAGCAGCGCCAGGTTGCTTCGGGCCCCTATCATCCTCGAAATTGGTTTGCTGCTGCTGCTGCTGTTGCTGCTGCTGCTGCTGTTTCTGCTGCTCGGCAGGCGCCACGCACGTGTCTCGGCCGGGGTTGACGAGACCCGCAGCCACGGCTGCGCTAAACACGCAGGTGTAGTTGGTGTGTCTGTGCTGCGTGTTTGCTGCTGCTGCTGCTGCTGCTGCTGCTGTTGCTTTCTCCCCGTAGCTGCAGGGCTTCCGCGCAGCAGGGGGGCCCCCTTGCCGCGGGTGTTGGCGGTGTGCTGCTGCAGCTGCGGGGCCGTGGGGCTTCCTCTGGGGCCGGAACTGCAGCCACAGCAGCAGCAGCAGCAGCAGCAGCAGCAGCAGCGAGAGCTCAGGGCCACTGAATATTTAGTTTCAATTTAATTTCAATTTTAAATTTAATTTAAATGTTAAATTTAATTTCAATTTTAAATTTAATTTTAATTTTAAATTTAATTTTAATTTTAAATTTAATTTCTTACCCCGCTGCTGTCCTCGTCGTCTGAAATGGGCACTTCTGCCCAGCGGCGAGGGCGCCGCGGCTTCACGGAGATCCAGCCCTCCGTGTCCTCATCTGCTGCTGCTGCTGCTGCTGCTGTTGCTGCTGCTGCTGCTGCTGGGGCTTCTGCTGCAGCAGCAGCTTCTGCTGCTGCTGCTGAGGGTTCTCCCTCCACTGCCTCTCCCGCCTGGTCAGCCGGAGAGGGAGCTGTGCTGCTGCCAGGCAGCTGCGCTTGGGGCTGCGGGGCAGCACTTTCTGCTGCTGCTGCTGTTGCTGCTGCTTCTGTTCTCGCTTCTTCTGCTTCTGCTGCGGCTGCCGTTGCTGCCACTGCAGTTTCTGGTGCATGAGTTGCAGCAGCAGCAGCAGCAGCAGCTGCTGCTGCTGCTGCTGCTGCTGCGTCAGCATCTGTGCTACCGGCCTCGGCGTCAGCTCCGCCGCTGCCGTTTAAGGGGTTGGGGGCAGGGCCATGCGCTTCATTGAAGTTAGCAGCAGCAGCAGCAGCAGCTGCTGCTGCTGCTGCTGTCGCTGCCTCTGCTGCTGCTGGAGGAGCAGCAGGTTCTGCTGCAGTCCCGCGTCCCTCTGGAATCTGCTGAGGAGATTGACTCGAAGTCAAGTTCTCTTCTGCTGCTTCGGGTGCAGCACAAGAGCAGCAAGCAGCGCCTGCAGCAGCAGCAGCACCGTCTGCAGCAACAGCAGCAACTGCTAGCTGCTCCTTCGCTGCTGCGGGAGCTTCTTCTTGTGCTGCGGTGCTGCTGCTGCTGTCGCTGCTGCTGCTGCTGCTGCCGTTGCTGCTGCTGGCCCGTGCCGCTTCCTGCTGCTGCTGGCTCGGCGCTGCATGCAGGGGCGCCGAGCCGACTTCGGCGTCGGGCGGTGCTGCTGCTGCTGTTGCTGCTGCTGCTGTTGCTGCTGCAGCCAGCTGCATCTTTGCTGCGTCTGCGCACCTGAGCTGCTGCAGCTGCAGGCTGGAGAAGCAGCAGCACTCGCCCCAGCGGCTGGCTGGGGAGCCGCAGCAAGACAGCTGCTCGCAGCGCGAAGAAGGAGACACAGCAGTGCTGCAGCACATGGGGGGGGAGCGCCAGCCACTTGCTGCTGAGGGGGAGGCTGCGCTGCTGCTGAGCCAGGGGTAGGGCCTGGCCTCCTCTGCTGCTGCTGCTGCTGCTGCTGCTGCTGCAGCGTCCTTCGCGCTGCCGCCCGCTGCTGCTGCTTCTGCATGCAAGCACGCAGGCAGCAGCGGGGCCCTGCTGTAGCCCATTGAGTCTGGAGAAGAGGCCCCCATGCACTTCTCTAGGGGCTGCAGGGGCCCCTGCTCGCTGCAGCTGGGGTTGGGGGCCTCGGCCTCGTCTTCCTCCGCAGCAGCAGCAGCAGCTGCTGCTGCTGCGGCTGCTGCTGCCGCCGCCGCTTCCGCGAAGCAGCAGCCGTCCCCAGCAGGGCCCCCACCCACGCGCGACGGGGGGCCCCCCTTGCGAGGCTCGGGGGCCCCCGATATTCGAGCAGCCATGAGACTGCGGGGATGAGTTGGTGCTGAAGTCCCTGTGTCCTGCAGCGCCGCGCTGCTGCTGCGGGGGCCTGTGAGATAGAGTACGGACAAAAAGATGGGCTGAGATGCAAATAAACAGCAGCAGAAGCTTCAGGGGGGGACGGGGGCCCCAGAGGGCGCCGCGTGTCCCCCCTGGTCCCTAAGGCGACGTGAGAGAGCCTCAGCTGCTGCAGCAGCAGCAGCAGCAGCACGGCGAGCGAGACGTAGGGCGTCAAATGAGTGTACCGCTAATGAAATTGCCGCTGCTGTATTGATTGTTCCAAATATTTCGGCTGCTGCCTCGAGGTTGCTGCTCTCGCTGCTGCTGCCGCTGCCGCAACACCAGCTGCTGCTGCCGCGGCTGCTCCTGCTGCTGTCCGCAGCGTTCTTGTACGGGGGGCCGTCTCTCCGTATTTCCCTTCACTGCATGCAAACTTTCTATAAAAATTAATATCTATCAATTTATTATTTAGTGAGGGCAAACCAAAGAGACACTTAGCCCTGGGGCCTTGGGCAGCCATTGGCCCTAACGGGCGCGGCCCCCCACTGACTACCGCCGCAGCAGCAGCAGCAGCAGCTAGAGGAAGACTAGCAGCAGCACATCGGCTTTCCTTTCTCTATACATTTGCGTGGCCAGGTCCCGCATCCAGTGTCTTATTATATTGCTGCTCCCGCTGCAGCCAAAGGGAAACCCCAATACTTGGTTTCGGGGGCCCCCGTGGGGGCCCCCGCTGCTTGCTGCTGTCTGCCGCTGCCCCAGAGCTCGTCGCTCACCGCCTCCCCAGTCTCTCTTGCAAAGCTGCTGCCGTTCCTACGGAGCTTATTAAAGCATTAGCTAGTGCCTCTTTAGAGTAATTAGTAGGCCCTGTGTCTCCTTTAGAGGGCCTCTGTGGCCGTGACTCTATTGCCGCACGCGCAGCTGCAGCAGCAGCCAGCACCACGAGCAGCAGCCGCAGTGTCCGCTGCAGCAGCTGCAGCAGCAGCAGCTGCAGCAGCAGCGCGGCTTCCCCTAGAATTTCGCAGCACTAATTTCGATAGATTGGGCCGTAGGGCTCAGCGCCGCCCCCAGCCCTAACGCTGCAGTGGCTTTGGTAGTTAAGGCCAGCGGCTAGCCCTAACGGGGGCCCCCCCTAAGAGCAGTACCCCCTCATGAGAGGGGCCCCCCTCCCCTCTTTTGCATTTGCTTCGCTGGCTGTGGGGCAGCAGCGGGGCCCCCTGCAGCAGCCCATGCTGCAGCACATCTGCCGTTGCTGCTGCGGCGCTGCTGAGCTATTCCTGTTCGGCTTTAGCTGCAGCACGAACTAGCTGCTGCAGCGCAACGCAGCAGACGCTTTAACACTACAAACTGCTGCTATAACGTACAGATTTTAGAGGGCCGCTTCCCATTTGGCGCAGCAGCAGTTAAATCCTCAGCAGCCATTTGCTGAGGGCTTAGTTCCCCTCTAGAGAGTGGCTCTTATGGACACAAGACCCTGCACATTACGCCAGAAGCAACTTGCCCCTTGTAACTAACGCCTGCAGGTGCAGACTGGGCACCTTAGGTGCAAGCAGCAGCAGCAGCAGCAGCAGCAGCAGCAGCAGCAGCAGCAGCGCCAGCTGCTGATTAACCCCCAAAGCTTCCTAGTTATAAGCGGAGCCCCAAGGGTTCTTCTATTTGCTTCCTCTCTGCCGCTGGCCCCTTCAGCTCAGAAAGCGGCAGTGCAGCCTGCGAGCTGCCCGAAGGGGGCCCCATGGGGTCCCCCAAGGGGACCCTTAAACGGCCCCCAAAAGGGCCCTTAAAGGGACCCCAAAGGGGCCCCCAAAGGGGCCCCCAGAGGGGCCTCCAAAGGGGACCCCTGTGCCTGAAAGGGGGCCCCCTAAGGGCCCCTGAGAGAGGCAGCAGAGGCCACTGCGGCTCCCGCGAGAAGCTTATGCGCTATTAATTTTAGAAAAAATCGAATATTTGACTGTCACCTTTTCTACGCCAAGTCCACAGGCCGGAGAGCTATCAGCAAAGGTGCAGCAAAAGGGCAAGAGGGCTGGGCTTAGACCCCCCAGCCCTGTAGCTGCTGGAGGCACAGGGGGAAAGCCATTAGCTCCCCGCTGCAGCCAGCTGCAGCCACGGGGGCCCCTTTGGGGGGCCCCCTGGGGGGCCCCTTGGGGGCACCCTTGGGGGGCCCCCTAGGGGGCCCCTCGCGGGGCCCCTCGGGGGTACCACGTTGCTGTTTAGGGGCTCTTCGAGCTACAAATAATCCCATCTAAGGGAGGCTGCGCCTATTGGCCAGCTTAGTGAGTAGGGCCTTAATAGTATCAAATGCAGCTATTTGCTCTTAGGCAAAGTCCCAGCTGTTGGCCACAGAGTTGCTGCTAAAGCCCAGCCCCTGAGAGCTGTGCAGAAGAGGCTGGCTTAGTGACAAACTAGGAAAACGAATTTCAGTTAAGTCCTCGAGGCAGGCCAGCCTGTGGCTGCAGCCACTTCGCGGGAAGCCAACGCGTGGAAAGCCAACCAGCAGCAGCAGCAAAGCAGCCCCCGCCAGCTGCTGCAGCGCAGCAGCTCTTAAGCAGCCCTGCTGCTGCAGCAACTCACCAGTCCCGCCCCGAAACCCCGCAGCAACGCTCCACACGGGGGCCCCCTGAGTGCAGCAAATGGCCCCAAGACGCCCCTGCTGCTGCGGGCCGCCTACGAGGCAGTGTTGCCTCTCTAAGGGGCCCCCGGGGGCCCCCCGGGGGCCCCTGGAGGCCCCAGCTGCTGCTGCCTAAACCCTTAAGACCTCCGCCCAGGCCCAGCAGCCGAAGCCGCCAAAGGGTTGCTGCAGCAGCAGTCCAACTCCACCAATCTGCCTCACAAATGGAGGAGAAGGCACAAAACAAGTGTCATAATTTCCCGTCTGAAGCCCACACTCAGGGGGCCCCTGCTGGGCCCTCTGCAGCAGCAAAAGGGAAAGACGCAGCAGGCGAGGCTGCTGGGTGCTGCAAGTTTGCTGCTGCTGCATGCAAGGCTCAGCTCCAGACAAATGGCTAGACAGCTAGCTGCCCGCTGTCCCCTTCGGGTAGAATCTGTACAGAAAAAGGCCACCGGCCCTTAGCTGCTCACGAGAGCTATCCTGGCCTGGATGCCCTGCAGCAAGCCCTCAGCTAGCTGGCTGGCTAGCCAGCCAGATAGCTAGATGAAGCTGGCTAGCTAGCCAGCTAGCCAGCTAGCCAGCTAGCCAGCCAGCCAACTAGCCAGCTAGCCAGCTAGCCAGCTAGCCAGCTAGCTAGCTGGCCAGCTAGCCAACCAGCCAGCTAGCCAGCTGGCCAGCTAGCCAGCTGGCCAGCTAGCTGGCCAGCTGTCTAGCTGGGAGTGCGTTCCTGTGTCGGTTAGTTGGCTGGGAAGCTGGCGCGGGAGGCCTCGGAGGCCTGGGTCTCTTGCTCGAGTTTGACAGCCGCCTCGAGGTTCTCGAGGTCCCTGAGGCGGCGCGTTTGCTGCTGCTGCTGCTGCTGCTGCTGGTGCTGCAGCTCGTAGTGCTGGCGGCGCTGGTTCATGGTGGGGGAGGCGGAGCGGCCGCGGGGCGCGGGGGGCTCGTCGCGGTGTCTGGACTCCCACTGCCGGGGTGTACGTACACCCGAAGGCCCCGGCTCGCCGCGCGGCGAACGCCCCGCTGCTGCTGCAGCAGCAAAGTAGGCCAGCGGCGTGCGGCACCTGGGGGGGAGGCTGTTGCTGAGTTCTCGGGCCACCAAGTGGTGTTCATCTACCAAGTACTGCCGCGCAGTTGTGTCCACTTTCCCCGCCTCCAGGTCCCCCAGCACCACTTCCCCGGCCGGCACTACCACAGCCACTGCGGCCTCGCCCAGCTGGCCCAGGGGGCCCTCGGGGCCCCCCTCCAGGGGCCCCCAGGGGCCCTGGGGGCCCCCGGCGCCCTCGGGGCCCTGAGGGCCCTCGTCGGGGCCCCCCTCGCTGCCCAGGTCTTCGCCGGAGTCCCCGTGGCTGTTTTCGTCGAAGTCCCGCGTGGGGCTGCAGTTGGGGGGCCCCCCCGTGTCGTCTTCTCCTGTGGTTTGCTGCTGGATTGTGGTGGAGGCCCCTTGCTTGAGGCTTTTGCGTCTCTTGGCTTGCTGCTGGTGCGCGTAGAGGCCCCAGCAAACCAGCCCCAGCAGCAGCAGCAGCCCGCTGCTCAGCCCCACAGCCAGGTACAGCTTCAGCTTGTCTTTTCGCTGCTTCTCCGCCTCGGGGCCCCCCCCTTTGCTGCTGTCTTCGCCGCTGCGGCCCCTGCCGGGGCCCTCCCGCCCGGGCACTGCGCCCGCGGGGGGCCCCCCGGGGGGCCCCCCTGGGGAGGGGGTGGGGCCCCCCGCTGCTGCTGCGGGGTACTGCGCCTGCGGCAGCGGCGGCGGCGGCTGCTGCCCCATCTGCTGCAGCGACTGCAGGTGCGACAGCCGGCCCGTCAGCACAGCGCGGGCCTCTGTGGCCCGCGCCGCGAGGTCGTCTGCCTGCTGCAGCAGCCCACTAATCGAGGAACCGCTGCTGCTGCTGCTGCTGCTGCTGCTGCTGCTGCTGCTGGCTGCCAGCCGCCGCAACGCCGCGCCGGCCTGCGCCCGCAGGCCCGCCCGGCCCGCGCTGCTGCTGCTGCTGCTGCTGCTGTGGGCTGCGTCGCCTGCAGCCACGCTGCTCTGGTCCTTGAAACTCTGCAGCTCCTCCGCAGTGCTCTTCACGTGCTTCGCGCAGGCCTCCACTTCTTCCGTCACTGACACCAGCAGCTCCGCCAGCTGCCGCGCCGCGGCCTCGCTGGCAGCAAACCCTTGCGCTGCTTCTGAGTTCGGGTCCGAGGCCCGCCCTGCAAGCAGCACGCGGCCCCAAGCCAGCAGCAACATTAGCGGTGGCAGCAGCGGCAAAGTCAGCAGCAGCAGCAGCAGCAGCAGCAGCAGCAGCGGCAAAGTTAGCAGCAGCAGCAGCGGCGAAGGTAGCAGCAGCAGCAGCAGAAGCAGCAGCAAAGTTAGCAGCAGCAGCAAAGTTAGCAGCAGCAGCAGCAGCAGCAGCAGCAGCAAAGTTAGCAGCAGCAGCAGCAGCAGCAAAGTTAGCAGCAGCAGCAGCAGCAGCAGGAGTTGGTCTCTTGGGTCCGGGAAGGGCTGGGGGCTCACCTGCTTCCTTGTCTGCTGCTCTCTCTGCGTGGAGTTTTTCTGCTGCTTCTTGTGCAGCAGCCATGTGGGCCTCGAGGGCGGGCGCGCCGACCTCGAGCAGGTCTTTGAACTTGAGTTCTGCTGCTGCGAGGACTGCAGCAAGCTGCTGCAGCACGTGGCCGGCGACGTCGCTGCGGGCTGCAGCGCCGCCGTGCTGCTGCTGGAAGGCCTCGAGCTGCTGCTGCAGCTGCTTCGCCTTCTTGGCCACCTGGCCCGGGACTGGCTCGGCCTCCGCCAGCGCCCGCCGCTCCTCCTCGTCCTCAGCAGCAGGAGCTGCTGCTGCTGCTGCTTCGTGCCGCAGCAGCGCCCGCAGCCGCGCCAGCCGCAAGTTGCTGGCAGCTTGCTGCGCCTCCCGCCGCGTCTTCTCAGCAGCTTCTTCTTGCCGCGTCAGTTCCGCTGCGAGGGCCAGCAAGTGGGCCACGCGCCTCTCCACAGTTTCTGCGAGCCCGCTGCTGCTGCTGCTGCTGCTGCTGCTGCTGCTGCTGCTGCTGCTGCTCGCGGGCTTGCCCTCGGCTATCTGCTGCACGCGGTCCTTCATGTCCTGCGGGCTCATTGCTTGCTTCAAAGCCCCCACTTCGTCCTTGAGAGTTTGCCGCACCTTCAGCAGCTGCTGCTTCACTTCCTTGGCCCTCTCCAAGTGCTGCTCGGACTGGTCTAAGTGCTCTCGGGCCCTTTCCGTGTACTTGCGCAGCACGTCTTTGGTGCTGAGGGGCCCCTCGTGCCCGTGGGGGCCCCCCTGGGGGCCCCCCTGGGCCTTGTGGGGGTCTTCGGAGCCCGCCTGGGCCTTCAGCCGCTTCTCCAGCCGGGCCTTCAGCTCCCCCATTGCTGCCTTCATGTCTGCTGCTTGCTGCTGCGCGTTGCTGGCGTGGCTGGCGAGAGTTGCTGCCACTTGGAGGCCCCTGGAGGCCCGCTGCGCTGCTTCTGCTGCTTCTGCTGCTGCTGCTTCGTCTCCGGGCTTTTTGCTGAGCAGCAGCCGCTCCTGCTGCGCCTTCGAAGCCGCAGCAAGGTCCCGCGCGAGCTTCTCCAGCTTCTCGAGTTCCTGCTGCTGCTGGTCTGCTGCTGCGTAGAAGCTGGCGGCCTGCTGCTCGGCGCTGCGCAGCATTGCTGCTGCGCTGCTCTTTGCTGCTTCGACTTGCTGCAGCAGGCGGTGGAAGGCGCCCTGGCGGGAGCTGAGGGAGTACTGGGCCTCGAGGGCGGCCCACTCGACGTGACCACTGGTCACCTTGTTCTGGGCCTCCTCGATGTCCTCCAGCAGCCGCTTCTTGAACTGTTCTGCTGCAGCCTGCGCAGCAGCAACTTGCTCCTCGTAGGACTTCATCTTGGAGCTGAGCGCAGCTTGCTGCTGCGCTGCTTGGCGGCCCCAGGCCTCTGCGTCGCTGGCAGCACTTTGGAGTTGGTCGAGGCGCTGGGCAATCAGCTGCGCCAAGTCGCCCCTGGCAGCAGCAGCAGCTTCCCTTGCTGCTGCAGCCTTCTGGGCCAGCGAGGCCTCCAGCTGCTGCCGGCGGCCCCGCAGCGTCTGCGCTGCTGCTGCTATCCTGGCCTTCAGCTTTTCGCTCTTTGCTGCAGCAGCTGTGGACTCCAGCGCCTGCGCGCGCAGCGTCAAGTCCGCGAGGTAGCCGTGGCAGGCCTCTTCGACATCCTGGACCTTCTGCGTCTCGTCTTCGGCGAGCAGCAGCAGCTGCTGCAGCGCCGCCGCGTCGCCGCGCGCGTCTGCTGCTGCAGCAGCAACCAGCAGCTGCTTCGCCGCGGCCCCCGGGGCCCCCAGCTGCCCCAAAACCGACCCAAACTTCGCCACTGTCTGCTGCGCTGCATGCACTATCTCCAGGGCCGCCTTGTTGTCCCGCAGCTCCTCCATGCCCTCCTGAAAGGCCCTGCTGAGGGCCCCCAGCTGCTCCTCGGCCCGCCGCATGTGCTGCACTGCGGACTGCAGCTCCGCCCCGCTGCTGGCCACGTGGTGGCTGAACTGCAGCTCCAGAGTCCGCAGCTTCTTCCGCGCCCCGTTGGCCTCCGGCCCCATCGCCTCCAGCATGTGGAAGGCCACGGCCAGCAGCCGCGCCGCCTCCGCCGTTTCCTTCACCACGGACGCGTCCGCCTGCTGCATCTGCGTCACCATCTGCAGCACAACCAGCAGCAGCAGCAGCAGCAGCAGCAGCAGCAGCAGCAGCGGCAGCGGCGGTTTTGGGGCGGGCTAGGCGGGTCGGGAGGGGCGCGGCGGGGGGCCGCGGCGGCGCCTCCGCAGCGGCGCTGCTGCGGCGCTCAGCAGCAGCAGCTGCTGCAGCAGCGGCACCGCGGCGCTGCGAAGAGCAGCAGCAGCAGCAGCAGCAGCAGCAAAAGGGCTCTCACCTTCTTTGCCGCCTCGAGCTCTGCCGTGGCCTTGCTTTCGAAGCTCTCGAGAAGCTTCAGGTCCTCAGCAGCAACTCCTTGCTTCAAAAACTCCAAAGTCTTTGCAGACTTCGCAGCCATGGCGTCCACGTCGGCCCGCAGCTTCGGCCCCACAGCCTTCAGCCGCGACAGCAGCAGCTCCACCTTCTCCACCATTCCGTTTGCGTCTTTCAGCGGGTCTGCAGGCAGCAGCAAAACTCCAGTTAACTTTCATTATCTTTTTAATTAAATGCATATTTTTGTGTTAAACCAAACACCTATTCTCAATCAGTAAAGCTTTCAATTCAAGAAGCAGCAAAACTCAAAGTGCCAGAAGCAGCAAACAGCAGCTGCTGCTAGCAGCTGCTGCTGAAGGAACAGCACTTGCTGTTGGCCGACTTCAAAGCGGCAAGCCAAATGTATAGAGATATTGCACTGAGTGAGCTTCCCTCATAAGCACTTGGCCAGTTAAAAGCGCCCCGTGTGAGATGCTGCAGCAGCAGCAGCAGCAGCAGCAGCAACAGCAGCAGCAGCAGCAGCAGCAGCAGCAGCAGCAGCAGCAGCTTCGGCTCACCTTCCACGACTTGCGCCTCCCTGAAGAAGACATCTGCGTCGACGACGTGTTTGGCGTGTCTGCTGTTGGCCTGGAGTTCGAAGACCTGCGGCGAGAGGGCTTTTAAGAATTGAAATTCTTCGCCGGGGAATTCCTGGAGAGAGAAGAAGGCGGAGGAGTGCAGCGACTGGCCTGCAGCAGAATGCGCAGCAGCAAAACCAGCCCCCTTAAACGCCTCCGCAGCTAAGCTTCTGCTGCACTCCGCAGCAAAGAGCAGCAGCAAAGAGCAGCAGCAAAGAGCAGCAGCAAAGAGCAGCAGCAAAGAGCAGCAGCAAAGAACAGCAGCAAAGAGCAGCAGCAAAGAGCAGCAGCAAAGAGCAGCAGCAAAGAGCAGCAGCCAAGAGCAGCAGCCAAGAGCAGCAGCAAACAGCGGCAGCAAACAGCAGCAGCCAAGAGCAGCAGCCAAGAGCAGCAGCAAAGCGCAGCAGCAAAGAGCAGCCGTAAGCAGCGGCAGCAAAGAGCAGCAGCAAAGCGCAGCAGCAAAGAGCAGCAGCAAAGCGCAGCAGCAAAGAGCAGCAGCAAAGCGCAGCAGCAAAGAGCAGCAGCAAAGAGCAGCAGCAAAGCGCAGCACGGACGCGTGGGCACGCAGGGGTAGCCGCGGCGCTGCTCCGCCTGGAAGTCGGCGACGGCTTTGTCCACTTCGGCCTGCCATTTGCTGAGGGTCTGTTCGTCAGCAGTGACTGAGAGGCGTTTGGCGAGTTCGCGCACAGAGAGCTCCCCCAGGGAGCTGCTGCCTGCTGCAGCAGCAGCAGCAGCAGCAGCAGCAGCAGCAGGGGGGCCCGCGGGGGCGAGGGCTCCGCCGCAGGCCACGGCCGCCGCGGCCAACAAAAATAGGCCCCGCTGACGCCCCATCGCGCAGCGAGACTGCGGCCAATTCGCATAACTCGAAGCCCCCTCGGGGCCTGCTGCTGCTGCCTGCTGCTGCTGGCAGCTGCTGCTGCCCGCTGCTGCTGCCAGCTGCTGCTGCCCGCTGCTGCTGCCCGCCGCTGCTGCGAGGAGAGGCCGGCCCCTCGAAGCGCTGCTTGCTGCTGCTCGCGAAGCCCCGGAGTCGCGGAAAAAGGCGAAGACCGAAACAACACACGCCCGAAAAAGCAGGAGGCCGGCCGTGCGGCGCGGACGCACGAAAAATAAACTAAGACCGAAAGCCGGGGGGCCCAGCCTTCCTTTTGGACTTCTTTCTTGAAATTAAAAGTAATTCAAAGAGGAAATCGCGAGACAGCGGGGGAAGCGTGCGGAGTGCGCCGCGAGTCGAGCCTGCTGCCGGGAGGAAGCGCGGCGCGCCGAGAAAAAGAACGGCAAGAGCTGCTGCCAATTCGCGGCTCCTTTTGCACAAAAACGACAAGAAAGAAACCTAATAAAGGGGTCTCAGCGCAATAAAGCATAAAAAGGCGCACGGAGATGAACGCAGCAGTCTCAGTGCCCCGTGCACGGACTGCCAGACAAAGTGAACAAGACGCACTTCGCCAGCGAAAAGCCCAAAGAGACCAACTCGGGCCCCTAGAAAGCTGCCAAATACCTTTGCTTTAAACCTTAAAAACCAAAAAGACGAGAAGGTTCTCTTTTGAAGCAACGCAGTGCTGCTGCCACAATCGACCCGCTGAAGGGGGTGCCCGCTGGGGCTGTGCTCGGCGTGAGCGACGGCCACAGGGGCCCTCTGCCTTCACACTTTTGCCTTCTTCAGTTTGTAAAGGAATTAACTCTTTGCAGTTAAGCTGTTGAGTCTTCAAGAAATATCACAAGTGCTTACTTGCCGCGGGCGCGTGACCAGTGGTCCACCCGGCCTGCAGCACGTGCCACTCTACACAACGCCGCGCAAGACCCAGAAGGGCTCGTGCAGTTTGCTGCAGCATTTGCGCAAACACTTTTAATTCTCTGCATTTCAATTCACTGTTTAGAATTTGTTGAAGGCCTCAAGGCCGCAGTTTTCGCCCTGCGGCGCGGCCTCCTGTCTGCTGCTGCTGCTTTCCACGCCTGCGCAGCTGCAGCAGACTCCCACACTCCCCACTAACTAAGCCACTATCTCTGAAAAGCAAGTCTTATAGCCAGTTATAAATGCAGTTCGAGACACATTTTAGCTTTTTGCAGCCACTAACTGCCCAGCAGCGCCGCAGAAGCTGCACGATCCTCCGAGACAGCCAGCAGCAGGCAAACGCGAGAGCCTCCGCGGCTGGCTGCGCATGCAGTGCAGCACTGCAGCAGCAAACGGCCCGCCAGCTGCTGGCTGCATGCAGCAGCAGCTCGGCTGCATGCAGCAGCAGTTCGGCTGCATGCAGCAGCAGCAGCCGCGTGCTGCTACAGGCCTGTCCAGGGCCGCCTCCTCGAGGCCAGGGAGCTGCAGGTCGAGCCCGAGCTCAGCAGCAAAGGCTCTTCTGCCCTTCTGCTGCTGCTGCTGCTGCTGCAGCAGCTTCTCCGCACTTCAAACTTGAAGGCCTCCAGCGCAAGCCGCGGAGTCCGCTGCGGCGACTCTGCGGGAAAGGCCGCCTCAGGGCCTGCGGGGGGCCCCGCCTTCGTCCGCAGCGCAGCGGGGGCCCCCAGACTGCATGCAGAGCGGCCTGCTGCAGCACGCGGGGCCGGCTGCTGCCGCTGCTGCAGCAGCAGCAGCTGCTGCTGCTGCAGTGGGCGCTGCGGGCCCGCGGCAGCCCGCGGCGTTGCGCTGAGGCCGCTGGCCACCCCAGGGAAGGCCTGGGGGCGAAGGGCCCCACAGCTGCGCTTTGAACAGCTGGGGCCCCCGAGGCCCCCTCCGGCTGCGAAGCTGCTGCTGCAGGGCATGGGGCCCCTGCTGCTGCTGCTGCTGCAGGGCGTGGGGCCCCTGCTGCTGCTGCTGCAGGGCATGGGGCCCCTGCTGCTGCTGCTGCTGCAGGGCATGGGGCCCCCTCTGCTGCTGCTGCAGGGCGTGGGGCCCCTGCTGCTGCTGCTGCTGCAGGGCATGGGGCCCCTGCTGCTGCTGCTGCAGGGCATGGGGCCCCTGCTGCTGCTGAGGGGCATGGGGCCCCTGCTGCCGCTGAGGGGCATGGGGCCCCTGCTGCTGCTGAGGGGCATGGGGCCCCTGCTGCTGCCAGCCGTAAGGCCTAGATTGGCCAGCTGGCCGAGACTGACGGGAACTGGGTGCCTGAGGGGGCCCCCAGTCTTCAGCAGTGCAGCTTTGAGTTGGCCAGTTGCTGCTGGAGTTGGCCCTCTGGAGCTGCGCACTGAGGCAGAAGAGAAGTCCCCAGGAGGCCCCAAGTACTTCATTGCTGCTGCAGGCGGAATCTGGAGCTTCAGCGGACGCTTGGGGCGGCCTCCAGCAGCAAGCTGCTGCAGCGCTGCAGCTGGGCCAGCAGTTTGGCCCGCCTCGCGGCTTAGGGGCCCCAAGGGGCCCCCCAGGGGCCTCGGGCATTGGGGGAGTACTGGGGGGGCAGCACGCGCCACTGCAGCGCACTGTGGGTGCGCAGGGGCCCTCTCGAGTTGCTGCCGGAGGCGGGAAACTGGCAGAAAGCTTGGAAACGACTTGTTGAGTTCAACGCACCTCTACGCGTTTCCTGAGGAGGTAAACTTCTGCGTGGAGGCGCCGGATCAGTTCCTGCTTTGCAGTTTCGCTAAACTGCCAAGTATTTCAAAAGGAAAGCAATGGGACATTACATCTTTGTACGCGGAGAGCTGCCTGAGGATGTACAGCTCGGTCGGACCTGCACCCGATTCAAAGGAATCTTCCATTGAATTAATGCAGGGAGTGAAGCGAGAAACACTCCTGCCGGCTTAGAAATGAAACTCAACAAACATCTAGAAAGAAGTTGTGCTCAGTGGAAAAATGCAAAAAAGTCAACACTTCGCTGGGAAGAAGAATTGTTAAAGTGACGCTCATTTTGTGCAAAATCTGTGCAAGAATTGAGGTGTCTAGACACCTCGCGTAGTTCCTTGCAAGACACAGCGGAAGCAGCATGGCCGTGGATCTGAAGGAAGCTCCGGCCGCTCCCCCAAATTTCGCGCGTTATTTGTTTTCAATTGCATTTTGTTGTTGTTTATTTCTTTTTAATTCAAAATAATAAAGCCAATTCAAAGTTATGGTGGCACGGCGGCCCAGGCCGCCGACGGGCCCCTGCGCCTTGCGTAGCAAGTGACCTCGCCGTTGCAACCCCGCTCCAACTAACAGAATAGCACGTAGAACACCATTTAAAACGCTCCAAATAACGACAACAATCTGAAAATGATTTAATGCCGCCTTGAGTGCGGCATTTGCCCCTTCGCTTCCGCGCAAAGCGGCCCTCCCTGCGGGTTCTGTCCGCCGCGGAGCGGCGCGGAAGGCGCGGCTGGCCGTGAAAGGCGACAGCCCGCAGCTAAGCAAAACTCCAGCACTTTTAAAAAGCTTTACTGACTAGGATTTACTGGCCATAAACTAGCAGCGCCGCGGGAAGTGGCCCTTAAGAAAAGGCCCCCGCAGCCGCGGCGTTGAGTTGAACTGACTGCAGGAAGCTGCGGGCGAGGCGGCGCTGCTGCGCGCAGCTCTGGGCTCTGCGGGCCGTAGAAGGCAGCAGAGGCGCTGCAGCAGCCTGCTAAGAACTTCGAACTTGAACTTTGCTGCAGCTGCTGCAGCTGCTGCAGATGCAAGTTTGCTGCCAGCAGCAAATGTGGAAAGTCCGAAAGAAATTTCTGCCCGACACTTTCGCAGACGCCCGCCTTATGGCGGCGCTGCCGGCCTTTCGCCAGAAGATTGTTTTCGTGGGCGACGCCCAGTCCGGCAAGACCAGCGTCATAGACAGGTGCACGCTTCAGCAGCAGCAGCAGCAGCAGCAGCAGCAGCAGCAGCAGCAGCAGCAGCAGCAGCAGCAGCGGCTGCTGCTGCTGCTGCTGCAGCAGCGGGGTTGCCCGCTGCTGCGGCCGCCGTAGCGCCCCTGGCGAAGCTCAACACTCCCTTTACTTAGCAGCACAGAACTGCTGCTGCTAACTGTGGGCTGCTGCTTCTCAAGAGTCCGCAGCAGAGCTTTGCTGCTGCTCTTGGGAGCCCCAAGCAGCAGCAGCAAGCTGCGCACTGCGCAGTGTCCGCGTTGCTCTCCACCGGCAGCAGCTGCAGCAGCAGCAGCCGCAGCAGCAGCAGCGCCCTAGTTGAGTGCGAGTGCCCAGCAGAGAGCCCCAGTGAGCTGCTGCTGCTGCTGCTGCTGCTGCTGCTGCTGCTGCTGCTGCTGCAGGTACATCTTCGCCCGCTTCAACCCCCACACCGAGCCCACGTGGTCTCTGCGCCTGGCCACAAAGTCTTGGGCCATTTCAGCTCCTGCTGCATGCATAGTAAATGTGGAGCTTTGGGACACTCCGCGGGGAGTCAGTTCCTTGCTTCTTCCCCTTCCTGTCTTCCCTCCTGCTGCTCCTGCTGCTGCTGCTGCTGCTGCTGCTGCTGTTGCTGCTGCTGCTGCTGCTTGCGGGCTGCTGGCGTGCGCAGCAGCAGCCGCAGGGCCGGCGGCGCGCAGCTGGAGCTGCGCGCCGCCGCCCCGCGGCCGCCGCAGCAGCAGCTGCGCTGCTGCCGCCGCCGTCGCCGCCGCTGCTGCTGCTGCTGCTGCTGCTGCTGCTGCAGCTGCAGCTGCGTGTGTGCTGCTGGGCGTGCTGCTGCAGTTCGGAAGCAACCCCGCGGGGGAACACTTCTGGAGAGGCACGAGGGCACTGGTGGTGTGCGTTGACGGGCAGTCTGCGAGCAGCGCAGCAGCAGCAGCAGCAGCAGCAGCAAAGTGGCTGACGGGCCCCACAGTTGCGGAGTGTCGGCAGCACGAGCCGAACTGCGTGGTGTGTCTGCTGCTGACCAAGGCGGACGCCTCTGCTGCTGCTGCTGCTGCTGCTGCTGCTGACCCCGAAGCTGACGAGCTTGCTGCAGAGCTGCAGGCCTTCGTTGACCAGCGCTTCTGCAGCACTTGGGCTGCTGTTTCTGCAAAAACTTCCCAAGGAAAGTCTGCACTTTGCTGCTCGCAAACCCGCAGCTGCTGCTGCTGGCCAACGCCCTGCTGCTGCTGCTGCTGCTGCTGCTGCTGCTGCTGCTGCTGCTGCCGGCCTCTGTCTACAGCCGCACCAGAGGCCACAATAGCTGCCACACACTGGCTGCTGCTGCAATGGAACCTTCTGCTGCTGCAACGGGGCCTTCTGCTGCAACGGGGCTTTCTGCTGCTGCAACGGGGCTTTCTGCTGCTCCTTCAACGGAGCTTTCTGCTGGTGCAAGGGAGCCTTCTGCTGCTGCAAGGGAGCCTTCTGCTGCTGCAAGGGAGCCTTCTGCTGCTGCAAGCGGGCTTCCTGCTGCTGCAAGGGAGCCTTCTGTTGCTGCAAGGGAGCCTTCTGCTGCTGCAAGCGGGCTTCCTGCTGCTGCAAGGGAGCCTTCTGCTGCTGCAAGGGAGCCTTTTGCTGCTGCAAGGGGGCTTTGTGCTGCTGCAAGGGGGCTTTGTGCTGCTGCTAGAACGGAGCTTTCTGCTGCTGCAAAGCTGCAAAGGGGCTTCGTGCTGCTGCTGCAAGGGGGCCTTTTGCTGCTGCTGCTGCGAGGCTGCGCAGGCATTTACGACAAAGACGACTTCCTGAAGCAGCTGCTGCACGCCCTGGTCGTGCAGGACCAAAAGCTGCACAGGAGCCGCAGCCGCCGCAGCATTTCGAAGCAGCAGCAAACTGCAGCAGCAGCAGAAGACGGCGGCGGCTCCCACGCGGGCCGCACTTCTCTTTCCGAAAGAGCTTCTGCTCTCGAGGGCCACCTCAAGGAAGTTGTCCTCAAGCTCGGCGCCCAGTAGCAGCAGCAGCAGCAGCAGCAGCTGCTGCTGCTGCTGCTGCAGGAGCTGCTGCTGCCCACTGCCCGCCAGCCCCCGCCTGTGCTGCGCTGCAGCGAACCACCGGGACCCGCAGCAGCAGGGCCCCAGAGGGGCCCCGGGGGGCCCCAGAGGGGCCCCAGGGGGCCCCAGAGGGGCCCCAGAGGGGCCCCTTGGCTCAGTCCTGCAGCAGCAGGCCGAGCAGCTGGGCACTTAAGACTGGAGTACCTTATTAGACCTGCTGTATATACACCTGAAGTGCAGAAAGCCGGGGCCGCAGACACCGTTTCTGCAAAAGAGCGGGGCCCCCGCAGCTGCTGCTGTTGCTACCGCTGCTGCTGCTGCTGCTGCTACTGCTGCTGCTGCTGCTGCTGTTTGGCAGCAAAAGCAGTCAGGGCGATTTTGCTGCTCTGGAGCGCTGTGCTGCTTCTCTGCGCCTGCGAACTTCAGCCAATCTGCAGACAGCAGCAAAAACCGAACTGCAGCACTTCAGCTGCTGCTGCTCATTTTCTAACTGCGCAGCAGCAAGGAGAGGGTGCTGCTGCTGATCCGCTGAAGTGCAGCGGACCAAGTTCACTGCAAAAGCTCTAGCTGCTGCTGTTGCTGCTGTTGCTGCTGCTGCTGCTGCTGCTGCTTAAGGTCTAGTGTGGGGCTTTCTGAAGCTGCACAGCTTTACCTCTCGAGATCCGCTTTGGATTGGCTCGTCTTCCCTTCAGCCTGCAGTTTCTGTGCGCAAAAACACAGCCACGCATGCACCGAATTGCTGCTGCTGCTGCTGCTATTGCTGCTGCTGCTGCTGCTATTGCCGCTGCTGCTTCTGCTATTGCAGCAGCTGCTGCTGCTATTGCTGCTGCTGCTTCTGCTATTGCTGCTGCTGCTGCTATTGTGTCCCTGTAGCAGCAGTAGCCCTTCGAGTTGCTCTGTGGCCAACAGAGTCTCAAGCAGTGACAATGAAGCAGGCAGCAGCAGCAACAGCTGTTGCTGCTGCTGCTGCTGCTCACACGGCGAAATGTTTGGCCAGCAGCAATCAAAAATAAGAAACGAACTTAAAGAACGAGACTCTTTAAGGGCCCCTAATGGGGAAGAGGCAGCAGCAGCAGCGGCAGAGGCGAGGGCGAGGATAGCATGAGAAGCAGCAGCAACAGCAGCAGCAGCAGCAAGCAGGGCAATGAGTTGCAGCAGCCAAGAGGCAGCACGAAGCAGGAGCCCCGAAAGAGACACAACAAGGCAGCAAAAAGGCCATAAAGGAAGCAGAAGTTGACAAAGAGAAGCAGCAAAAGAGCAGCAGCAAAAGAGCAGCAGCAAAAGAGCAGCAGCAAAAGAGCAGCAGCAAAAGAGCAGCAAAACAGCCCCAAACCCACTTGCAAATGTGCTGCTTGCTTCGCCTTCTCCTGCGCCTCCTTTTCGCGCCTGGAAGGCTCGGGGGAAAGACTGGCGCCTCTGTTCCTGTTCGGGTTGCCGGCGCCCACCTGAAGCAGCAGCAGCAGCAGCAGCAGCAGCAGCAGCAGCAGCAGCAGCGGCAGCAGCGGCAGCAGCAGCAGCAATTGTAGGAGTCCCCGTGATGCACGTGCGTATGTGGAGTGGAGTGTTTTGTGTAGAGAGGCTGAGATACAGTCAGGAAAAAATGACTAGGAAGAAGAGAGCAGCAGCAGCAGAAGCAGCAGCAGCAGCAGCTGCTGCTGCAGCAAAGAAGCAGAAAGAAGTGAAACAGTGGAAGGCAGCAGCAGCAAAGAGCAGCTGACCAGAGGCTCGTCTTTCTGCGGGCACAAACAGACAAAGGCAAACCAAAAGCAGGACAGATGCAGCCGCAGATATTCGTGCTGTTGCTGCTGCTGCTGCTGCTACTGCTGCTGCTGCAGTTGCTGCTGCTGCTGCTGTCGGTGCTGGTGTTATTGCTGGTGTTATTCTTGTTGCTGCTGCTGGCGTTGCTGCTGCTGATGCTTCAGCTGCTGCCTGCGCTGCGGCTGTTGGCAGCCAACGGGGTGCTGGACTCACGTCGCTGTCAGGGGGGACCACTGGTCCCCTGCGAGTCTGCTGCTGCTGCTGCTGCTGCTGCTGCTGCTGCTGCTGCTGCTGCTGCTGCTGCTCCGTCTCCTCCTCAGACTGCTCCTCCACCTGCGGATTGCTGCTGGAAACGTTTCGAGCCATCACTTCTTCAAAAGATGGCACCACGCGGCAGCCCCGCTGCGGCCTGCTGCCGCGGCCGCCGCGGCTGCTGCGGCCGCCCCGGCCCCCCCTGGGGCCCCCTCGCTTTGCTGCTGGGCCCCCCGGCATTCTGCTGCAAGGAATGGGTGCTGCTGCTGCTGCTGCTGCGCTGCTTCTGGGCTCCGGCGGCGCTGCTGCTGCTGCTGCTGCTGTCTTGCTGCTGCGCGCGCTGCCCGGCGAGAAGCGACACGACGAAGGAAGTAATGAAGACAAAAAAGACTTTGTCAAAATTGGGATAGCGCAGAAGGACAAGAAAGATCGCCCGAGGCAGCAAGGCGGTCGGTCCGTTGCTGCAGTTCAGGTGTGCACACACGGAGGCGCCACGAGGCCGAAGGGAGGCAGCAGTGTTATTTGCTGCTTGCGTTTAGATAAAAATTATATTCAGTTGCCGATGTACCTGCTTTAAGAAGTGCTCTAGGAAGCTATTTGACCAGTGGCTTCAGCAGCAGCAGCAGCAGCGCGGCGGCAGCAGCAGCTGCAGCAGCGGCAGCAATGCTGCTCTTGCCTCGCTCACCCGTGTCCAGGCCATAACCCAAGGGCCTAGGGCTACACACACCTTTTTGCTGCTGTCCTTTATGTGCTTGTTGCTACAAACTAAAAAGGAACCGGATGTGAAGAGATCGCAGGCAATTTCAGCCTTCTTGCTGCTGCTGCTGCTGCTAGCGGGGCCCCCCGTAAGGCCTTGCGGCGGTAGACCGCCCGCAGATGGCAGCAGCTGCAGAAATAGCTAACTTTACGACTTTTGATTTAATAATGCGCATTGACTGCCTCGATTAAGCTGCTGCTGCTGCCGTAGTCGCTGCTGCTGCTGCTGCTACTGCTGCTGCTGTTCTGCTGCCACGGTCGCTGCGGCTGCAGCGCAAAGAACCCCCAGCACATCCGCCCTCTTCCTGAGCAGCGCTGCAGCATCAGCAGCATCAGCAGCAGCAAAAGCAGCAGCAGCAGCAGCAGCAGGCATGGCAAATAGCGTTCCTCGAGCTCCTGCCTGTCTTTGACCTGTCATTGCGCTCCCACATTCTTCCCCTTTCCGCTGCGCCTAGCTGCTCCCAGCAGCGGCTGCTCTGCAGCAGCTGCAGCAGCTGCAGCAGCTGCAGCAGCTGCAGCAGCCAGCTGCAGCAGCAGGCTGCGGCAGCGGCAGCAGCAGCCCCTTGCCCCCACTGTCCCCCGCCTGCTGCTGGAAATGTGGGACTCTTTGCTGCGGAACTTTTCCTCAGCCGCAACAAATGATTTAGCAGCAGAAGCAGCAGCAGGAGAGACCGCTGCTGAGCCTTCTGCACCCTCTCCAAATGCAGCAGCAGCAGCAGCAGCAGCAAATGAGCAGCGCAGCCAAGTGGTGTCTTTCCTGAGGCTGCGGGAGTCGCTGCGCAGCAGCCGCAGCCCTGCTGCTGCTGCTTGGGACTTTAGGCAGCAGTCGCAGCAGCTGGAGGGTCTGGCTGCCGAGGAGGCAGCAGCAGCAGCAGCAGCAGCAGCAGCAGACATGATGGCCGCAGCAGCAGAAGCGACGCCAGAGATCCTCTCACCGGACTCACTCACCCCCCCTAATGGAGCCGCGCCAGCAGCAGCAGCAGCAGCAGCAGCAGCAGCATGGAGTGCTGCAGCGCCTGAGGCGCAGGAGCCACGCGGCGCAGCCTCGGGCGGCCGCAGCAGCGACGCAGAAGCAGCAGCGGCGCCTGCTGCTGCTGCTGCTGCTGCTGCTGCATCTGGCCAAGGCAGCCCCATGTGCAGCAGAAGCAGCAGCAGCTCTTTGTGCGAAGAAGAAGAAGTCATTGCCGGTGCTGCGGCTGCTGCTGCGTCTGCCCCCACAGTGCTGCACAGCCGCTTCTTATCTTTGGGCCGGGCGGCCCCTGCGGCCCAGCAGCAGCAGCAGCAGCAGCAGCAGCAGGAGCAGCAGAGCGAAGTGGACGTGCAGCTGACGGATGAAGTGCTGCTGCAGCGCCGGCCTGGAGGGAGCAGCAGCTCCACCTCGACAGCAGCAGCAGCAGCAGCGGCGCGGGCATCAGAAGCGGCCTCAACAGCAGGAGGAAGCCCGCAAAGTGCAGCAGCAGCAGCAGACGCTGCAGCAGCAGCAGCAGACGCTGCAGCAGCAGCAGAGCAGCAGGCCGTGGACGGGCTCCCTGACTTTTTGCCTCTGAGGCCCGAGGGCGCTGCTGCTGCTGCTGCTGCGCGCGCTGCGGCTTCCCGCGTCTTGCTGCACCAAGACGCCGCGGCGGAGGCAGCAGCAGCAGCAGAGCCAGCAGCAGCAGCAGCAGCAGCAGCAGCAGCCAGCAGCAGCGCAGCAGCCCCCGGGGCCAACGGCCTGCTGCCAGCAGGCGACAAGAACGCCCCCGTAGATCATGTGCTGCTGGTCATTCATGGAATTGGCTGCGGCTCGCAGCACGAAGTGCAGCAGCAGGAGCAGCTGCGGCACTCCATCAGGTAATTTGCTGCGCTGCTGCGGCGCTGCAGCAAAGCCTGCTGCTGCCTTGCTGCGCCTTTAGAGCCACAGCTGCTGCTCCGGAAGGCCCCACTGCTGCTGCTGCTGCTGCTGCGCGTGGGCCGGTGCTGCTGCTGCTGGGTTTGAGCTGCTGCTTTGTTCGCGCTGCTGCTGCTGCTGCTGCTTTCGTGCTGCTGCTGCTGCTGCTCTTGCTGTAGCAAAGGCGGAATGGCCGCACACTGCAGCGCTCCTGCCGCCACCGCTAGCGCCGTTTGCGTCGCTGCTGCTGTTGCTGCTGCTGCTGCAGCAGCAGCTGCAGCAGCAGCGCGAGGCAGCAGCTGCAGCAGCAGCACGAGGGACCGCGAGGAAGGGCAGGGAGGCGCCCTCCTAGCCGCTTCACCTGCTGCTGCTGCTGCTGCTGCTGCTGCTTCTTGTCTGCTGCTGCACAGGTGCGTCAACGCCCTCTGGTTTTGGCGAAAGCCCATCAGCGTTTACGTCTTAGCCATAAATTGGAAAAGATGCATCGTCGAGGCGCAAGACCAGTGGGTTTCCCGCTGTCTCGCTGCTGCTGCTGCTGCTGCTGCTGCTGCTGCTGCTGCTGCTGCTGCTGACGCCGTTGCAGGAGAAGGCAGCAGCAGCAGCTGCTGCTGCTGCTGCTGCCTGTGTCTGTCTAGACTGGCCGACTTTTGGTCTTCCGTCTCTTTTTTGTTGTCTCCTCGATGCTGCTTTAGCTGCTGCTGCTTTGCTTCTTCGTGTAGCTGCTGCTGCTTCTGTTCCTCGTTTGCTGCTCCCCTTGTTCTTGCCTCTGCTTGCTGTATTTGCTGCTGCCCTTGCTGCTGCTGCTGCTGCTGCTGCGGCGGCGGGATCTCCCCCCGCTGCTACGCCCCTATACATCTTCTCTTTTCCGCCGCTGCTGCTGCTGCTGCTGCTGCTGCTGCTGCTGCTGCTGCTGCTGCTCAGTTTGTTTCAAAGCATAGGGATATCGAGCCTCTACGAAATGCGGCGTTTGCTGTCTTTGACTGCCGGCGATCTTCTCTTTTTTATGACTCCGAGATTTGGGGACTTCATTATGCAGCAAGTGGCTGCGCAGCTGAATGCTGCTTACCACAAACTCAAGCAGGCACGCGTGCTGCTGCTGCTGCTGCTGCTGCTGCTGCTGCTGCTGGGGTTGCTGGGGCTGCTGGGGCTGCGGCTGCTGGGGCTGCTGCTTCAGCTGCTGCTGCTTTAGTTGCTGTTGCAGCTGCTGCTGCGACCGCTTCTACTGCTGGTGGTTGTGCTGACGCACTACCGCTGCTGCTGCTGCTGCTGCTCCTGGTGCGGGCGCTCTTGGAGACGGCGGCTCTGCTGCTGCTGCTGCTGCTGCTGCTGCACTGCGTGGCGCCGCTGGCTCACTGCTGATGCTTCTGCTGCTTTCCAGCTCACGTTGGCCCTCTGCTGCTGCTGCAGTTGCTTTTTTGACTTTGCTTTTCTTTGAAATCCCTTTTATCTCATTTGCTGCTGCTGCTGCTGCTGCTGCTGCGCAGCACCCCTCAGGCCGCTTCTCTAAAAGCCGCTTCAGCCTCTTGGGCTATTCGCTGGGCAGCGTTATGGCCTACGAGCTCCTCAGCGGCAAGTCCTTCAGGCCCGTAAGCTGCTGCTGCTGCTGCTGCTGCTGCTGCTGCTGCTGCTGCTGCTTGTGCTGCTGCTGATGGTGGTACATCCGCTGGTTTTGCTGCTGCTGCTGTTGTTGCCGCCTGTGGTGCTGCTGATGCTGGTGCGTCCATTGGCAGCAGCGTTGCTGCTGTCGTTGGCTTCGCTGCTGCTGCGGGTGCTGCTGCTGCCGCTGCCAGTGCTGCTACTGCAGCTGCTGTTACTGCTGCTGCTGCTGCTGGGCTGCCGTTTGTTTTGTGTCATTTGCTGCTGCCACTACTGCGCCTCATGCTGTTGCTGCCCCTTTCTTACTGTCGCTCCTGTTGCTGCTCAAGCGCAGCTGCAGCTTTGCTGCTGTTGCTGCTGTTGCTGCTGCTGCTGCTGCGGCTGCTGTTGCTGCTGCATTGCCCAGGGCTCCGCTGCACTTATTTCTATCATCTAGTGTCAGTTGCTGCCGCTGCGCGATTTGTGTGTGTCTTTGTATTCGCTGACTCTGTCCTTTTCAATTTGTCCGCTCCCTTCTCTTGGCTGCTGCTGCTGCTGCTGCTGCTGCTGCTGCTGCTGCTGCTGCTGCTGCTGCTGCTGCTGCTGCTGTGCTTGCAGACACAGTACCGTTCCCGCGAAGAGGTCCCAAAACTGGACTTTACTGCTGAGTCTCTGTTCTTGCTGGGCGGATGCCTGCCGGCATTTCTGCTGCTAAACTCTCCAGAGGTGTGGCGGATCTGCTGCGCTGCGCTTCCTGCTGCTGCTGCTGCTGCTGCTGCTGCTGCTGCGTTTGTTGGACTGTTGCCATCATGCTGCTGCTGCTGCTGGGCTTTTGCTTTTCCATTCAAGCACATGAGCTTCGCGTGCTGCACAGAAGTCTTTCTGTAGGCTTACAGATTGCTCTCGTGACTACTGCTGCTGCTGCTTTACCTGCTGCTGCTGCTCTGCCTGCTGCTGCTGCTGCTGCTGCTGCAGATTCTGAAGACAGGGCTACAGCTGCCCGAAGGCCTCCAGGTTTACAACCTTTTTCACCCGTGCGACCCCGTCGTGAGTCTTGCACTGCAGCAGCAGCAGCAGCAGCTGCTGCTGCTGCTGCTGCCGGGGCCTCTGCGACTCTTGCTGCAGCGCTGCTCGCGCCGCAGCAGCTGCGTGCGCTGCTGCTGTTGAAGCCTCTTGTGAAGCGGCAAAGGACTAGCTGCTGCTGCTGCTGCTGCTGCTGCTGCTGCGGCTTCAGGCTTTCAGATTAGAAAAGCTAATATATCCACACCTTAAGGAAATGCCGCCCCCAGTGCTGCTCGCCTACTGGAGATCCAACGGACTGCAGGGCTGGTACAAATGGGACCTCAATGTGCAGGTGACCACCCCATGCTGCTGCTGCTGCTGCTGCTGCTGGTTCTGCTGCTGCTGCTGCTGCTGCTGGTTCTGCTGCTGCTGCTGCTGCGCATGCTGCGGTGGCTCTCGCGGGAAGTGGCGTGGGCGCGTTCGGTTCTGACTGCTGCTGCTGCTGCTGCTGCTGCTGCTACTGCTGCTGCTTGGTGCTGCTGCGCGATGGGGAGACGCTTTCTCCTCCTGCTTCTAAGCCGTGTCTGCTGCTGCTGCGGCTGTCTTTGCTGCTGCTGCTGCTGCTGCTGCTGCTGCTGCTGTCCAGCAAGCAAAGGACATGGTGACCACCAACATCAACAGCCTCACTGCCTCAGTGCTCTCGTGGTGGAGGTGGGAAAGGCCCGCGAGTGGAGGCGGCAGCGTTTTGGCTGTGAACGCGAAGGCAGCTTCTGCTGCTGCCAGTCCGGAGGATTCGCAGCAGCAGCAGCAGCAGCAGCAGCAGCAGACGGACAAGCCGCAGCAAAACAGCCAGGCAGCAGACGGGGCTCAAAGCAGCCCCCAGGAAGAGCCTCGTGGCAGCGAACCAGGCGACGGTGCGTGTGCTGCCGCTCTTGCTGCTGCTCCTGCTGCTGCTCCTGCTGCTGCAGCTGCTGCTGCAGCTTGGGACTGCAGCAGCAGCAATAATGGAGGGCGCATTTGAACGGCAAATGGGCCCGGGGGGATTGGCGCAGCAGCAGGCTGCGCTGCTGCTGTGTCTTACTGCTGCCCTCAGCAGCAGCGCAGCAGCAGACTGCAGCAGCGAGTGCTGTTTTGCTTTTTTTTTATTTCTCTTTCCCACTTTTTCTCTTGTCTCTGCCTGCTGCGCGCTGCTGTGCAAGCCTCTTCTCCCATCCGCTTCTGCTGCCGCTGCTGCTGCTGCTGCGGCTGTTGCTGCTGCTACTGCTGCTGCTGCTGCTGTTGTCTTTGCTTTCAGAGCTCATTCGGGACCTGCAGAGCTTCAAGTCCAGTAAGTGTTTTGGGCCAATGTTTGTTTTGGCTGTTTCTCCTGCTGCCGCTGCGTTTGCTTTTACTGGCAGCAGCAAAAGCTGCTGCTGCTGCTGCTGCTGTTGCTGCTGCTGCTGCTGCTGCGCTGCTGCCACAGCAGTAGCTGCAACCCCAAAAAGGCTAGTTGTTTATTCAATGCATGCAGCAGCACTTGTGGCATTTTGCTGCTGTGCTGCGCATGCAGGGCTGCACTCCCAAAGTTCTCGAATTCGTCTTCACCAAATTCAGTCTCCTGCCTATTCGCGGAGCCTTTCCCGCAGCAGCAGCAGCAGCAGCAGCAGCAACGGCAGCGAGGCCAGCAGCAGCAGCGGCAGCAGCAGCCGCGCACTGAGCAATGAAACTGACGGCGATGCCTTCACTCATGTGACCAGCTGGTTTCGCCTGGGCTCAAGGCTGCAGAGAGAAGACCCCACAGCAGCAGCAGCAGCAGCAGCAGCAGCAGCAGCAGCAGCAGATAATGGAGCTGTTGGGAGACAGAACTCGAGCTGCAGCAGACAGCTGCGGCGGCTGACGCCGCAAGACCGAATCGCCCGCAGGCCCAGAGTCCAGTCTCACCAAGAGACCTTCACTGCAGCAGCAGCAGCAGCAGCAGCAGCAGCAGGAGCAGCAGCAGGGGCTGCTGGCAGCTTCCAGACCGGGCTGCACTCCCACAGCAAAAGGGCGCAGCAGCAGCGCAGGAACACCATCAGCGACGGTGGGGCTTTTAGGAAACAAATAAGGGTTTATTTAGGGTTTAGGGTAGCTTTAGGGTTTAGGGTTTAGGGTTTAGGGTTTAGGGTTTAGGGTTTAGGGTTTAGGGTTTAGGGTTTAGGTTTAGGGTTTAGGGTTTAGGGTTTAGGGTTTAGGGTTTAGGGTTTAGGGTTTAGGGTTTAGGGTTTGGGGGTTTAGGGTTTAGGGTTTAGGGTTTAGGGTTTAGGGTTTAGGGTTTAGGGTTTAGGGTTTAGGGTTTTCCTCTGTGCCCTTCTTCCGGCGCTTCGGCCGCCTGCGCTCTGGGCTGTTATTTATTTGTTTTTATTTAATTTGAACTATTTATTATTCTGTTGGGCATTTATTTATTTATTTATTTATTTATTTATTTATTTTGTTTTTTTATTTATGTATTTATTTATTGTTTATTCTTTCATTAATTTACTTATTCATCCTTTATTGGTTACTTCCAAATGTTTAGTTCTGTCTTTCTTTTGTTTTGGTTTTCGAATTTCTTTTTTCTTTTTGTTTTTTCTTTAATCCTTTTTCCAATTTCTTTCATTTCGTTTCTTTTGCTTCATTTTTGTTTCATCTTTTTAATTTCATTTCTTTTATTTCATCTTTTTAATTTCATATCTTTAATTTCATCTTTTTAATTTAGCATCTTTTATTTCATCTCTTTATTTTAATATCTTTTATTTCATCTTTTTATTTCGTTTTCTCTATTTCTTTTTTAGTCCTTTTATTATTTTTTTTATTTTCATCTTTCTAAAGATATTTTTATTTCTTAATCTTTAAACTCATCCCATTAACTTCATCTTTTTAAATTCCTTTTCCTAATTAAATTTGAAACTTAATTTCTTTTTCGATTCGGTATTTTTGATTTATTTTTAATTTCATTTTTAGTTTTTCATTATTTCATTTTTTGAATTTTCTTTTTGAGTTAAATCTTTTAACTACGTCCCATTTTGTCGTTTTAATTTTATTTTTTATTTTCTTTTTTGAATTCAAGTTCACCGGATTCATTTTATTTATTCTTTTATTTATTTAATTTAATTTATTCATTTTATTTATTTATTAATTTAATTTAATTTAATTTAATTTAATTTAATTTTTTGATTTATTTCAGAATACTTCAAAGCTGCAGAAGTTCCTTCTGGCTTTTCTTCAGTTTGCGGCGAAACTCATAAAGCCGTTTTGCAGCTTCAAGTGAGAAAAAGATTTATTTATTTTTATTTAATTTTTATTTATTTTTATTTATTTTTATTTATTTTTATTCGTATTCATTTACTTTTATTTATTTATATATTTTTGTTTATTTTTATATTTCTTTTATATTTCTTTTATTTTTCTTTTATTTTTCCTTTATTTTTCTATTTTTCTCTTTTCTTTTTCCTCTTTTGTCTTCTTTTCTTCTTTTGTGTCTTTTATTTTCTGTTGTTTCTTTTATTATCTTTTGTCTCTTTTTTTTCTTTTTTATTTTATTTTCATTCTTTGCTCTCTTTTCCTTTGCTTCTTTGCTCTCTTTTCTTTTTCTTCTATTATTATTATTATTATTCTATCGCTTATCATTGTTGTTTCTCTTTCATAATTGACTATTGTTTTTTCTCTTTTATAATTTCTTTGTCTCTTTTGTTATTCTTTAATCTCTTTTATGTTTCTTTCTCTTTTTTATCTTTTCCTTTTTTCTTTTTCCTTTTTGTCTCTTTGCTTCCGCACTTGTTGCAAAAATATATATTTAATCAAAGATGAAAATTAATTCAATAGACTTCTTCCCGCGCTTTTCATTTGCATGCTCTCTGTACGCACCCGATCTGCTGCTGCTGCTGCTGCTGATGCTGCTGCTGCTGCTGCTGCTGCTGCTGCTGCTGCTGCTGCTGCTGCAGTCGATAAATGCAGTCAAGGACGAGCAGAAGATCCCGCGGCGTTATGACTTTCAGCTGCAAGTGAGTTGCTGCTTCATTTCTGTCTTTTTCTTTTTCTTTTTATTTTAAATTTGTTTTATTTTAATTCATTTCTTTTGTCCTCTTTTTATTTTCTTTTCATCAAGTCAGCTGCTGCGGCTCATCTTTAGGGGAACTTAAATAGAAATGTAATACAATATAATATAATATAAAATAATATAATATAATATAATATAATATAATATAATATAATATAATATAATATAATATAATATAATATAATATAATATAATGTAATGTAATGTAATATAACATAATATAATATAATGTAATGTAATATAATGTAATGTAATGTAATATAAAATATAATATAATGTAATGTATATATACATATATGCAGATTAAAGATAAATATATATAGATATATGCGTGTGAACAAATATCACTAATATGAACATTTAAAATTATATATAAACATATATATGTATATTCTATGCCTTCAAATTTATTTATATATATTTATGTTATTTCTATTTACAGATATTTATATTTATAAATATTTGTGTTTATATTTGCATGCAAATATGTACTGTCAGGTTATTTTAATGCCAGAGTGCGCAAGTTAAGAGAATAAAAGAGTTTTTTCTTTCTTTTTGCATGCACAGCCGCTCAAATAATAAGTGCATGCACTTGCATGCACTTGCATGCACTTGTATGCACTTGCATGCACTTGCATGCACTTGCATGCACTTGCATGCACTTGCATGCACTTGCATGCACTTGCATGCACTTGCAAGTATCTGCACATCCATTCAAATGGATTTATTTATTTAAAGATCTGCATGCATGCAGTCACAGGCTCTGAGACTGTCTTTTTGGATTTGTTGCCTTCTGAATGCCTGCTGCTGCTGCTGCTGCTGCTGCTGCCCGTTGCTGCTGTTGTTGCTGCTGCGTCTGCTGCTGCTGCTGCCGCTGCTGCCTTCGCTTGCTGGCTGCTAGGCGCGAAGGGCCGGCGTCTAGCTAGCTGCTGCCTCTCTGCTGCTCTTTTCCTGCTGCTGTTTGCCTCTACCGCGCACCTGCTGCTGCTGCTGCGTCTGCTGCTGCTGCATGCGCTGCTGCATACGCTGCTGCTGCGTCTGCTGCTGCTGCATACGCTGCTGCATACGCTGCTGCTGCGCCTGCTGCTGCTGCCCTGTTGCTACTGCACACACTGCTGCAGCACCTGCTGCTGCTGCGCCTGCTGCTGCTGCCCTCTCGCTGACGCGCGTGCTGCAGCTGCTGCTGCTGCTGCTGCTGCCTTGCTGCTTGCTGCTTCTCAGGAGGACACGGCGGAACACTATTTGTCTTCTTTGGCTTTGCTGAACAGCCACTTCAATTATTTCAAACTCAAAGATGTGGCTTTTTTCATATTGAAATGTCTCTCCGGCAAGAACCCCCTTATGTCCTACACAGGTCAGCTCCCAGCTAGCTAGCTAGCTGCCTAGCTAGCTTCCTGGCTAGCTGCCTAGCTAGCTGCACCCGAGCTAGCTGGCTAGCTAGGCGGCTAGCTACGCAGCTAGCTACGCAGATAGCTGCACAGCTGGCTAGGCAGCTGACTAGGCAGCAAGCTATGTAGCTAGCTACGAAACTAGCCACTCAGCTAGCTAGCTAGCTCGCGTTGCACAGCTAGCTGCTGCGTACATGCTGCTGCTGGCCGCCGCAGGCCTTCCATGATTGCGCCTTGCGCCGGGTGGCTCTTAGCCCACAGCTAGCTAGCTAGCCAACTAGCAAGCTAGCTAGCTAGCTAGATAGCTAGATAGATAGCTAGATAGATAACTAGATAGCTAGCTTGAAGCTAGCTTGGCAGCTAGCTACAGTTGACCAGCCAACTCGCCAGCTGGCTAGTTGCTAAGTATACATGGCTAGCTAGCCGGCTAGCTCGCTAGCCCGTTGCTGCTGGGGCTGTCGGGTGCTTGCGCATGCGACCGCTGCTGCTGCTGCTGCTGCTGCTGCTGCTGCCTGCAGACCATCTGCAGCTGCTGGAGGCTGCTGCTAGGAAGGCGGCGGATCACGCGGCAAAGGAAGGCAAGGAGCACTGCTGTCTTTTTCTGCCCGAAATGTTAACGCTGTTTGCTGCTGCTGTTGCTGCTGCTGCTGCTGCTGCTGCTGCTGCTGCTGCTGTGTATCTTCTTTTCTCCCTCAGAGTTTCATTGCTCTCTCGCTGCTGCAGCTTTTTGTGGCTTCGTTTGTGTGTTCTTTTTTGCTTTTGTTTGCTGCCTGCATTTTTCCTTTGGGGTTTTGCTGCTGCTCTTTTGCTGCTTCCTGTTTGGCTGCTGCTGCCCCGCTGCTGGCAGCTGCAGCACGGGGCCTTGGCAGCCGCCTCCGTTGAAAAGGGAACCAACCACTGCTGCTGCTGCTGCTGCTGCTGCTGCTGCTGCTGCTGCTGCTGCTCATCAGGCCGGCCGGAGGAGCAGCAGCGGCAGCTGGAAGAAGCAGCTGCCCTTGCGGAGAGGCTGAAGGCCTTTGAAGCTTCTCTTCTTCAGCCCCGTTCGAAAAAAAAATGAAATAAAAAATAAAAAATAAAAAATAAATAAATAATCGATAAAAGACAACTCAATAAACTTTTCAGCTGGCGGCCTCCCCGCGGCTGCAGCACCGATGAAACCCCACGCTGAAGAGCTGCTGCTGCTGCTGCTGCTGCTGCCGCTGCTGCTGCCGCTGCTGCTGCTGCCGTTGCTGCGGCTGGGCAGATGAGGCGCAGGGCAGCGGTTGTTTGCTTGAAGGCTCTGCGCCCCTCTAGCTATTTGTCATATTGTTAAATGCTGGACCGACTTGCCAGCCGACTGGCTAGCTAGCTAGAAGCTAGCTACCAGCTAGCTGGCAGCTACCTGGCGGCTAGCTAGCAGCTAGCTAGCAGCTAGCTAGCAGTTAGCTGGCAGCTGGCTGGCGGCTAGCTAGCAGCTAGCTAGCAGCTAGCTAGCAGCTAGCTAGCAGCTAGCTGGCTAGCTAGCTGGCGGCTAGTTAGCAGCTAGCTAGCAGCTAGCTGGCTAGCTAGCAGCTGAGCAACCAGCTAGCAGGGCACAACGCCGGCTAGTTGTTTGGCTAGCTAGCTGAGCAATCTGGGGCAGCAGAGAGAACTCTTTTGGCGATTTGTTTGCTACTTAGCTAGCTGGCCACCAGGCTGGCTAGCTGCGCAAATGGCTGCTGGCTAGCTGGCAGCAAGCTAGCTGGCCTAGCTGCGCGCTAGCTAAAGAGGCTGCGCTAGCTAGCTGGGCCACGCTGGCTAGCTGGGCTGCAGTGGCTCGGTGGGCAGCCGCTGCTGGCCCCACAGCAGCAGCAGCGGCGCCGCAAGCAGCAGCAGCAGCAGACTTAGGAGCAGCAAAAGAGGCCCTGAAGAGCCTTTTGCTGCCAATCTAGTGGGAATTGAATTCAGTGGAACTTCAAGTTGTCTTATTTCAAATAAAATCCTCCATTTAGGACTTTTGAGTCTTCAAAAAGTCCCAATTGAACTCATTTCAGAAGACCCAAAGGCTCAGGTGTACAGACACCCCAACCCTGCGGCTGCAGCTGGGGTGTACCTGCGCCTACTAGTGCAGTAAATATATTTTTGCTTATTGCATTTTAGATTATTTATTAATTATATTATAATATATATTATATTATATTCACATATTATCCATTTATGTGTAACATTTGCATGCATGCATATACACATATATACATGTCTATATATATATTTATACGTATATATATATATATATATTTATATATATATATATTTATAATTATATGTGTGAATGCACCAAATGGGAGTTGGGTATAAGTAATGGCATAAAATCAAATTTTACTTTTTTGCATTTATTTGATATTTCTTTTTAATGACAAGTAAGGCCAGAGCTAAAGACATAGTGGAACCCACGGGTTGCTGCGTGGGCCATCTGCTGCTGCTGCTGCTGCTGCTGCTGCTGCTGCTGCTGCTGCTGCTCATATGGCGATTTGGTACTAAATGGTTTCAAGGAAGCAAATGGGCGAAGGCGGCAGCGCAGGAGCTGCGCCACAGAACTGGCTGAAGATAATTCGAATAATTAATTTTTAAATTAAATTAAATTTAATTTAATTAATAATTTTGAAATCGAGCCAGTTCTCAATTAAAATTCATAAAGACATGGAAGCCAATAGCCGCAGCAGCAGCAGCAGCAGCAGCAGCAGCAGCAGCAGCAGAGTTGGGGCTGCGTGCTGCATGCAGAAAGCCTCGATTTTTGCTGCTTTTGCTGTGGGGCAATAAACAGAAGATAATTCTTTCTTTTCTTTGTCAACTCACGATGATATAGCGCTTAAAGGCCGTGAGGTGTATAGTGGCAGCAGCAGCAGCAGCAGCAGCAGCAGCAGCAGCGGCAGCGGCAGCAGCTGCAGCAGGAAACCTCCGCCTTAAAGGGAAAGCCAATGCCCGAAGCTCTATCCCACTGATTGCTGTCTTTGTTGCTGCCTTTTGCTGCGGCAGCAGCATCTACACAGCGGCGCCGGATCTTCAGCCGCAGCAGCAGCAGCAGCAGCTGCTGCTGCTGCTGTGAAAACAGCAGCAGCAAGAGCAGCGCGGCTCTGTAGACTGCTCGGCTTGCGACTTCTCGCTGCTGCTTGGCCTCGCGAGGCCAGCAGCAGGAAACATTTGCTGCGCAGCAGCAACGACAACCGCAGCAGCAGCAGCAGCTGCTGCTGCTCCACTTGCTGCCGACCTGCTTTCTATGACGCGGGGCCCCTGAAATGCAGCAGCAGCAGCAGCAGCAGCAGCAGCAGCAGCAGCAGGCCTTCGGTGCTGGGCTGCCTCGCGAGGTGCTGCAGAGAGTTGCAGACTCTCTCGGGCTGCATGCAGATGGCAATTACCAAGCCACGCAGTGGCTGCTGCAGCTGCAGCAGGAGCCGCAGCTGCAGCAGCTGCTGCAGTGGCTGCTGCACCCTTTTGCGGTCTTCCCGCCGCTGTCGGTGAAGTGCAAGACTTTCGCTTTGCTGCAGCAGCAAGAGCAGCAGAAGCTGCAGCAGCAGCAGCAGCACGCTGCTGCCACGGAAGCTGCTGCAGACGCTTACCGCAGATATGATGAAGCAGCAAAACTTGTTGCGCTGCAGCTGCTGCTGGAAGCAGTTAAGAAGCACTGGCACTGCAGCTGGGACGAGCAGCAGCAGCTGCTGCTGCAGCGGTGCGTGCTGCAGCTGATACAGCAGCCCACGCTGCAGCAGCAGCACGACGCGCTGCTGCTGCCTCCTGCAGCAGCAGCTGCAGCAGCAGCAGCGCAGCAGTCAAATGTGCCTGCGTTCTCGCTTCTGATGAAGGCCTCGCAGTGCCTAGCAGCAATGTGCTGCTGCAGCAAAACAGGAGCAGCAGCAGCAGCAACAGCAAGGCAGCTGCTGCTGCAGCTAGCCTCAGGAGCCACTGGGCTTTCTGTAGACGGGCTGCTGCAGAGCCCAGACCTCAACGACCCCACAGCTGACCCGCAGCAATTTGCTGCGCTGGTGCAGCAGCAGCAGAAGCAGCAGCAGCTGCTGCCGCCTGCGCAGCAGCAGCAGGCCTTCGTTTCTGCATGCGTCTTTCTTGGGGTTCTCCTCGAGATCTCACTAGAGCTTAACGAGGTAAGGACCTAGAGCTAGCTAGCTAGCTAGCTAGCTAGCTAGCTAGCTAGCTAGCTAGCTAGCTAGCTAGCTAGCTGGCTAGCTGGCTAGCTGGCTAGCTGGCTAGCTGGCTAGCTAGCTAGCTAGCTGGCTAGCTGGCTAGCTGTTGTACTGGCTAGCTGGAGCTACGCATAATTACTGCCATCCCCTGCGTAGGCGCTGGCAGCGCGAGGAGCTGCTGCTGCAGCGTGCAGCTGCCGCTACATTCTGCTGCTGCTGCTGCTGCTGCTGCTGCTGCTGCTGCAGGAAAACAACACACTGATGGGGTCTTTGAGTGGGAAGCTGCGGCGGCAAGTTGCGCAGGCGCTGCACAAGGAGTTCACTGGCTGCAGCAACTTGCTGCTGCAGCTGACGCGCTGTTTGCTGCTGCTGTTTTCGGATGCAGCAGCGCGCTCCCACCTGCAGCCCCTGGCTCTGGACTGCATCAGGTAAGCAGCAGCAGCAGCAGCAGCAGCAGCAGCAGCAGCAGCAGCAGCAGCAGGCGCAGGGTGAACATACTAGCCGTGGCTGCAGCAGCGTGGTAGCTGTAGCCGCAGCAGCAGCACCAGCAGCAGCAAACGGCGGGCCGCCAGCAGCAGCAGCAGCAGCAGCAGCAGCAGAAGCTTCTGCTGCTGCTGCTGCTGGAGTGCTTCCGACGCCGCAAGTTTTGCATCTATTTCTTCCGCACAGCCGCCTCTTCCACTGCCGACGCTGCTTCTGCCTCTACCGCTGCTGCTGCTGCTGCTGCTGCTGCTGCTGCTGCTGCTGCTGCAGGTGCCTCGCTGCGCTGGGCGACGTTGCTGCAGTGCTGCAGTGCCTCTGCAGCTGGGGCCTGGGGGGCGCGGAGTTTCAGGGGGCTGAGGGTTTGCTGCTGCAGGCCCTGGATGTTGTGAATGAGCGGCTCGTTAGAAAAAGACAAAAGAAACAGGTGCTGCTGCTGCTGCTGCTGCTGCTGAGGCTGCTGCTGCTGCTGCTGAGGCTGCTGCTGCTGCTGAGGCTGCTGCAAGCGTCTGCTGCTTCCGCGTGTGTGGCGGCAGCGGCAGGAGAGGCGTTGTTGCTGCTGCTGCTGCTGCTAGGGGTTCGGCTTGTTTTCTAAGTTGCGGTGCATGCGTGGTGCTGCTGTGATGAGCGGTTATTCTTTTGCTGCTGCTGCTGCTGCTGCTGCTGCTGCTGCTGCAGGCGATAGAAGGCGTGAGCGCAGAGAGCGCCACTGCCTTCTGCTGCCTCCTTCTCCAGTCTGCTGCTTCTGTTTTGGCGCTGCCAGTTACTGAAGACTTTGTGGGCGAGGAGGTGAGGAATTTTTGCTGCTGCTGCAGCTGCTGCTGCAGCTGCTGCTGCTGCAGTAGGTGACCAGGGCAGCAGCAGCAACCGCTGCTGCTGCAGCTGCTTACTGCGAGTGTTGGCCTGTGGTGTTTCTGCAGCTTCTCTCGCTTCAACTCCTCGTCGCCGGCCTCCTGAAGAACTTTGTAGAGAACTGCGGAGATTACGTGAGCAGCAGCAGCAGCAGCAGCAGCAGAAGTAGCATTACCAGTTGCTGCAGCAGCTGCAGCATCAGGACAGGACTCGCGCGTTGCGTCTCTGTGGCTACGAATTTGTTGCTCCCTTCCACACTGTCTAGCAGCCGGCAGCCCGCATGATAGAGCTCGCCTGTAGCTGCTGCTGCTGCTGCTGCTGCTGCTGCTGCTGCTGCTGCTGCTGCAGGTGCTGCGGCACTTTGAGCCGGAGGTGCTGGGGGCTTTGCTGCGCAGCGGCATTCTGCGGGTGGCGATGCACCCCTCTGTGCGGGTTGCCTGCCACGGGATAGCAGCAGCTGCTGCACTTCTTCGCAGGCTGGTGAGTCTGAGTGCTGCAGAGGAGGCGCCGCAGCAGCAGCAGCAGCAGCAGCAGCAGCAGCTGCCCCAGTGGCTGGACACCAGGGCCCTGCTGTCGGTCTCCTTCGTCCGCTGCCTCCGCATGGGAGACCCCCAGATCGTCAAGCTGCTGCAGCCTGCTGCTGCTGCTGCTCTCAACTCTGTGGCTGCGCGGCTGCTGGAGACCGTGGGCGACAGCGCAGCAGCAGCAGCAGCAGCAGCAGTCGCGGCGCTCGCGGCGCGGCGGCAGGCGCTGCAGCAGAAGCTCCTCGCCCAGCAGCAGCAGCAGCAGCAGCAGCAGCAGCAGCAAGACGAGCAGGAGGCGCGGCGCATGAGCAGCAAAAGAAAAGAAATGCTGTCTCAGCTGCGGGCCTTGGAAGCATCTTTAAGGGCCCTTGAGGCGCTGCAGCTGCTGCCGCTTCCCTGCACGGCAAACTGGGTCCACACTGTACGTACACTCCAGCTGCTGCTGCTGCTGCTGCTGCTGCTGCTGCTGCTGCTTGTTGTTTCGCCGCCCCGGCCGAGAAACGTCTGCGGCCTCCGGAGAAACACTGCTGCTGCTGCTGCTGCTGCTGCTGCTGCCTGCAGGTCGCGATGTACGCAGAGGCGGAAGATGCCGTGGCTAGGGACTCGACAGATGTGCGCTTTTCCCAAGTCGACGTTTTGAGCTTTTGCTGTTGCTGCTGCTGCTGCTGCTGCTGCCCTGTTCTGCTGCCGCTAGCCTTTGCTGCTGTCAGTCTCTGCTGCTGCTGCTGCTGCTGCTGCGACCCGCAGAATTTCCCAGCACGCTTTGCCGGCCTCAAGTCTTCAGCGCTTTTGGGCCTCACGACACTCGTTGGACTTTCTCCCGCCGCCGCCGGTGAGCCTAGACTCGCGAGCAGCAGCAGCAGCAGCAGCAGCAGCAGCAGCAGCAGCAGCAGTTCAAACACTGCAGCAGCAGCACCGCAGCAGCAGCGCAGCAGCAGCAGCAGCAGCGTTTGTTGGCTGCTTCTGGTGGCTGTGCGCTGCAGAGGCCACGACTGCGTGGACAGAAGAAGTCTGCAGCCAGCTGCTGGAATCGCCTTTGCTGCTGCAGCGGCAGGGGTCGCCGGACTCGCTGCTGCTGCTGGTGCTGCAGGCAGCAGCAGCAGGAAAGCAGTACGAACTCGCAGACAAGAACCAGCCCTCTCTGTTCCCCTCTTGCATTCTGCTGGACGGCTGCTGCTCCTTCGTGGAGGCGCAGGTGCAGCGGCTGAAGAGCGCGTGCTTGACAGCAGCAGCAGCGCAGCAAGGCAGCGCAGCAGCAGCAACTGCTGCTGTCACTGCCTGGCTGCTGCCGCAAAACGCAGTCGACTCCCCCTGGCTGCTGCGGCTCTGTGGGGTCTTCGGGGGCCTCGTGCGGATTCCGCTGTTCGATGCTGCTCGTGCTGCTGCTGCTGCTGCGGTTGCGGAGCGCGCCAAGGCAGCAGCAGCAGCAGCGCGCAGCGCCGAAGCAGCAGCAGCAACCTTCAGCAGCAGCGGCGTTTCTCTCCACGACTACTTTCTAGAAATCCGCAGACTCGAATTCGTTTCTGGAGCTTCTTATCTTCTCAACTACTCGCCGCCTCTGGACATCAAAAGCATTCTCGACCTGCTCTTCCACCAGTGAGCTCTTGCTGCTGCTGCTGCTGCTGCTGCTGCTGCTGCGGACGCTGCTGCTGCTGCTGTTGCTGTTGCTGCTGGAGAGAACGGGGTTGCAGAACGGGTGCAGCTGTCTGCGGCAGGCGTTGCTGCTGCTGCTGCTGCCTGGCAGCAGCTTCCCTATGACCACCGCAGCCCCTCCGCGCCTGCCGCCACTGCCGCTGCTGCTGCTGCTGCTGCTGCTGCTGCTGCTGCTGCGCTGCAGCATCCTGTCGAGCGAGAACGCAGCAACCCACGTGGAAAACGTGTGGGCCTACCCACTGACAGCCCCGCAGCAAATCCACCTTTGCCGCCGCCGGGCGCTGCAGACTCTCATCTCCATATCCAGCGCTGGCTCTGAGGGGCTGCAGCAGTACTTGCCGCTGCTGCTGCAGCACATCCAGAAGAAGATGCAGGACGCAGCAACAGAGCAGCAGGTCCGCGCCTCCTGCTGCTGCTGCTGCTGCTGCTGCTGCCGGCTCTGTGCTTGCAGCTGCTGCTGCTGCTGCTGCGGATTCTGCCGTTAGGGCTGCTGCTGGCGGCGGCGCACTGCTTGCGGCAGCTGCTCTGCTGCTGCTGCTGCTGGTCCTGTTGCTGCTGCTGCGGACCTGCGTCGCAGTGTGTTTGGGCTGCTGCGCTGCAGCTGCTGCAGTCGGAGCGGGGGCTGCTGATGGAGGCCTTCGTGTCTCTGGTGTCTGCAACGGGAAACTACGCGCTGCAGCAGCAGCACACGCTGCCGCTGATAGAGCCGTTTGCTGCTGCGCTGCGGGGGCTGCTGGGCGAAGTGGAGCAGCAGAAGCAGCAGCTGCTGCACAGAGACCCAGACGGCGGGGCCTCAGCAGCTTTGCTGCCGCCCACCACCGGCCTTTTGTTTTACCTTTTCGGAGATGTGCGCAGAGAGCAGACGCAGCAGGAAGAAGAGGAAGCAGCCAAACGCAGGTCCGCAGCTGCTGCTGCTGCTGCTGCTGCTGCTGCTGCTGCTGCTGCTGCTGCTGGTAGTGCGGGTGGCTGCTGATGTATGCGGGCGGCTCGAGATGCGTGCGGATGCTGCTGGAGCTGCTGCTGCTGTAGCAGCTGCGGCTGCTGGAGCTGCTGCTGCTGCAGCAACTGCTGCTCCGTGCTGCTGCTGCTGCTGCTGCTGCTGCTGCTGCAGGAGGGCGCTGGCGCGCGTGCTGTCCTCGCTGGAGACTTCTATTAAGCGCACGACAATCCCCAGTGACCCGGGAGCAGCACGAGCTGGGGGCTACACAGTGGAGTGCAGCAGCAGCAGCAGCAGCAGCAAAGTGCTGCCGATGGAGGCCTTTGCTGACGGGCAAGAAGACGAAGAGCTGAGGAAGCCTTTCCCGCAGTGCCTGCATGAGCTGCTGCTGCAGCAGCAGCAGCAGAAGCAGCTGCTGCCCAGGAGGCACCCGCTTGCTGCTGCAGTGCAGAATCTGCTGCCTTCTCTTTTTGACTTCCTCGTGCGGCTGCAGCAGCTGTGGACGGAGGAGGTGAGAGAGACGCCCTGCGCTGCTCTTGCTGCTGCTTCCGGTGCTGCTGCTGCTGCTCCTATTTCTGCTGCTGCTGCTCCTATTTCTGCTGTTGCTGCCGCTCATGCTGCTGTTTCTGGCTGCGGCGTCGCGGCCGTTGCTGCAGCGGTTTGCTTCGCCGCTCTGGCGTTTCTGCGGCTGCTTTTTTCGCCGTTGCTGCCGCCGCTCCCGCTGCTGCTGCTGCTGCTGCTGCTGCTGCTGGACGGGGCTGCTTGCTGCGCTGCTGTGGGCAGGTGAGCGACGCCAGCTTCCCCTACCTGCGGGAGCTGCTGGAGCCTGGGGCTGATGAGTTCTTAGCAGTGCAAGGAACTGCTTCTGCACTGGCTGGAGACGGGGCAGCTTTGTCTCGAGCCGTGCTGCTGGCGTTCCCGTGCCGCAGCAGCAGCAGCAGCAGCAGCAGCAGCAGCCCGCGCAGCAGCAGCAGCCCCAGCAGCAGCAGCAGCGGCGTGGGCGAGCGCGAGGCCGCCGTGCTGCTCACCCGCAGACACTGCTACCACCTGCGCACTTTGGCCTACAGGCTGGCAGGCACTTGTGCCTTAGCAGCAGAAGCTTTCTTTTTGCTGCCAGACTTGCCCGAAAGACTTGTCAGTTCGCTGCTGCTGCCGCTGCGGCAGCAGCTCCCGCTGCAGCACGTCGAGCAGCAGCTCCGCTTCTTCTGGTCCCCAGTCCTCGACGCAGAGACGCTGCCCCCACAGCCGCCCTACCCCTCGCAGCAGGTTCGCACGTGCTGCTGCTGCTGCTGCTGTTGCTGCTGCTGCTGCTGCTGTTGCTGCTGCTGCTGCTGTTGCTGCTGTTGCTGCTGCTGCTGCGGTGGGCGCCCTGGCTGAGGGGCGGTCCGACGGAGTTGCTGGGGCCTGTCTTGCTGTGAGGGCTGTTTTGCTGCTGCTGCTGCTTGTGCTGCTGTTGTGTCTCAGCTGCTGCTGTTTTTCGTCAACGAGGGGCTGCTGCCGCTGCTGCAGCGGCTGCGGGCCGAGTGGACAGCCGTCGCTGAAGCAAAGAGAGCAATGGAGACGGAGAGCAGCAGCAGCAGCAGCAGCAGCAGCAGCGAGGAGGAGAGGCGGCTGGGCGTGTACCTGCAGCGGGTGTATGCCCTCAGCAACGTCGGCGAAGTGCTGCTGCAGCAGATCGGCTCGCTGCTGCACCACAAGACCAACTCCGTGGTTGCTGCTGCTGCTGCCAACAGCAGCAGCAGCA